AGAGACGTAAAATCGGCGCATCTTGCATTTACTGGGCTTCTATGTAGCAACCTGTGAACGTATGATGTGCTCCTTGGGACTCAAAAGAGTTAAGAGCTATCATGGCGTCACAGCTAGACGCTTGCCTGCGGGTCGACTGACAAAGCCAGATTTTTTTGGTTCCCATGCCAACCCAGCCTCAAATAGGTATCAGGTAAAGTCCTGGGAACTAAAGGCGCCCAGCGTGATGCTGACACCCACCAAATGCCGATTGGTCTTTAAAATATAGGTCTTGCCCTATATACCCAGGAAGCCTGAAGGCATGGAGAGAGTCTTTTACTTATGTGTTTACCTAAACTGTCTGAACCTCATTATCATCAGTCTTTATGCGTTTACCTAAACTGTCTGAACCTCATTATCATCAGTCTTTATGTGTTTACCTAAACTGTCTGAACCTCATTATCATCAGTCTTTATGTGTTTACCTAAACTGTCTGAACCTCATTATCATCAGTCTTTAAGGGGGAAATCGTCACTTTTAACCAGCATTCCGAAGAGGGTTCTTTAGGTTATAATTGTGACTAGGTTTTGTGTGCCATGTAAAATGGCTTAGCATTGCATGCCATCAAAAACCCTGAAAAGGGTTTCTGGAGTGTTGATGAGGAAGACAGTCCCAAATACTGCCCCAACAGACGGCAAAGTCGTCTACCGGCCAGCCAATGAGCGACCCTGTCGCCGATGAACTGTCTGGAGCTGAAACAATTTAAATATATGAAAAAACACAAAACAGGCACTCGCCTTCTGTTTATACTTCATCTTGACACCAAAAAATACAAGATAAGATCAGTTAAAGAAATAAATATGGGGGTCTAACTATTTAAAACAATTAGTTTTTTTTTTTTTTTTAAAGGTTAATTATACAGTAAATGTGCCTGCTCGCTAGCGTAGTTGGTTAAACATGACTTCGCGGCGACCGGGTGACGAGCTCCTTGTGGTCCGTGATCACGTCCGGGGGTTATGCAGAAAAGCCACATTTCTCCCAGATTTACGGTATCTATCATGGAATCAAAGCCGAAGGGTTGCGATATTAATAGTACCAAGCAAAAGGTGCTATTCGTCTCACCATCACACTCTTCTTTACCTTCAGCACCGTCAAATTTATCCTCCTACTGATTTGTATAGTCTACTTGAGTATCCGCAAAATATGCCTCATCCACATCATCCACCTGTGAGAAAACATTACCGTGGATGCGGCCATTGAGGATGCGAGGTTTTCTTTTTATGTGGGAGGCTGTATTGGGATTCCGTTGTGAAAACTACATGTGAACGAATGTTGATAAAAGACACGAGATTAGATTAAATAAGATGTGTAAGAATTTGTGAATGAAGAATTAGGAGCCGATCAGGCAAGGACGGGTGTATGAGAAGAAGAGAACGACGTGTGTATAATCAGTGTGCTACTGGAGCCGTTAGCATCTAAACATTAAGACATTTGCTGCAGCGGACGGCAGCATCTATGTATATGTCCGGTGTGCTATGATATTGATCCTTAAATCGGAAAACCAGTGGAAATTTATGATGATGTCGTAAAACTGAATAATGGAATGACAGGCGCTGGAGCCTGAGAGCTCGGGTCACTTGAGGCCCCTCAATTTCATTAACCAGTGGTTCTCAGCCTTCCTAATGCCACGCACTTAAAACAGTTCCTCGTGTTGTGGTGACCCCCAGCCATACAATTATTTTCATTGCAACTTCAGGATATGTGTTTTCTGATGGTCTTAGGCGACCCCTATGAAAGGGACATTCGATCCCCGAAGGAGTCGTGACCCACAGATTGAGAACCTCTGCGCTAAACAAACTTGAATGGATGTCAAACTTTCAGGTAGACGCCCTGCGGGTAAAAACAGTTTATGGAATCAGATCTCCATCTCTGTGGATGCTTTAAAAACGGTTCATATTGATGACACACTTTATAGGCAAGAATTTCACTATACAGTAATTTAGTTTACTAGCCAACCAGAGGCTTAATTAAACCAAACATACACATGTGAATTACATTCGTCCGACACACCTTCATACTGCAGCCGACAGAGTAATGCAGGAGTATATAGATTGTTGAGTTTAATATATTTTAGGTGTTTTTTTGTTATAATTGTGACACTCATATTGTGTAATAGCTTATACTTTTGGGATCATTTGAAGTCATCCTGGATAACATTAATATGTCTTAAGTGGTATGACCTCTCATCACCATATCCACGTAGTTCTTCTTTTTCTTCGATCCTTCTGTCAGAAAACTTATATCAGGAGGCCGGTAGCCTTTATGAAAGCTATATATATATAGTTCACCTTTTTGCCTTTGTGGGCTATTTGTGCAGACTACAGAACATGTCCTGCAAGACTGTCCCTTGTTCAGCCCATTAAGAAAGGAATACTGGCCCAGTGAGTCATCACTGTACACAAAGTTGTATGGGACTAAAAATGAACTCATAAAAACAGTCAAGTTTATCACAAGAACCTGTCTGTCGGTGTAAATCAGAAAGCGAACACAAGAAGAAGAAGAAGAAGAAGAAGAAGAATGAAAGCTATCGTGCAATCCATATCTTCTCGTGTACCATACAGTTTTGTCTTCATTGTGGTTGGGACGGGCCAGATTGCGTCTCTGTTGTCAGCATACAGTTGACAGTGTTAGAGCACATGCTGAGCATTTTCGGGCTGAGCATTTTCATTGCCTTCCAAGCCACGGTGACCTGGAGTCCACGTAGTGAAATGCGGTAAAGAGAACAAAGAAGGGGATTGCTAGGATTGGATGAAGTATCGTGTGGCCTTGTGCCACGTGACCACTACTGAAGCCGTCCTGGGTCACCCCGAAACGGCCCGTCCAACGGGACTCCGGTGAAACTGCGACAGGCTTGGCAAGCCGGCAATGGATTTATTATCGCTACATTCGCTAAAAGGAAAACAATGAGATATAAAAAGACTGATTATTGAGATGTTTGTGCTGAAGGCGAATTCTTACACAGTAGCTACAGACGCAGATCACCATTTGCACGAAAAGGGGCACAGATAGGGCAGCGGCTATAAGAGGAAAGTCATGGATGACTCATGCAAAGGACACGATGAGACAGTTTGTATCCTGGAGAACCTTAGGCGAGAGGAGTGATATCAGGGTGCTAGCGGAACAGTCAGATTTTGTAAAGTCGTAATCACATTTAGCCGGGAGTGCAAACAATGGCCAGCACGCGCCACAGATGTGGAAATTCAGCAATTAATTCATGATAATCCTCGCTCGGGTGATATGATAATTTAAACAAATGGTTCAGCGTCAAGAGGCAAAAGGAGTTCCTGGGGGTTCATAACAAAGGCTCATGGTCGACGTTTGGTGCAGGGGAGCCTAGCATATGCTACGACAACATCCAGGTTAAGAATGGAGGTGGAGGCGGTCACTGCAACTGTCCGCTAGCTAGAGAACACACACACACACACACTTGCGTGCGAACACACACACACCGTGATTGTATTTGACTCAGAAAGCATGCTTAGGAAAGTGAGGTCAGGCATGCTTTGTGCAGACTAGTATGCTTCGCTTCGGAAGTCACGGGCGATAAGCATTGTTTGGATTTTTTCTCTTGGCTATGCCGTTGAGTTGGGAAATGAACAGTCGGATAGATTAGCTGGTTCTGCACAACCTGGTGGGATATTGATGTATGCTAAGACAGACGTGGTTAAAGTGTACAGTTATGAGAAGCAGACGGATTATCAAAATCTGGTGATGGGTGCAGCAAGAAGTGACAAGGGATCTGACCCACATTAGACGCTCAGAGGAAAAGCAAGACAGAAATATAATTAGACTGCTGCTGGTACCATTTATATTAGGACTCTGCGATGGCTGCTGAAAATTGGGACCGAGCGCTTGTGGGAATGCCCTAGGGTTCTTATATCGGTTTTCAAATAACCCAACTCAACTCAGTCGACGAAATGTCTGAGAAAAGCTGCAGGAGTGGCCAGAAGAATAAAATAAGGAATGCAGTCATAAGAGAAAAGGTCGGCACAGAAACAATGTTAAATTACATACAAAGACCGCAAACTGAATGATTTTACCACTTAGAGAGAATGCATTGAAATGCCAAACCATACAAGGCCTTCACCAAACGAGATTGGCATGGAACACAAGGTAGACCAAGAACAATATCAGAGAAACTCTTTAACAGCACCATGTCTATATAGTCGTGGCGGCCAGAAGAGCAAGAAATAGAACCATTTACCCCCCCCCCTCCCCCCCCCCCCCCCCGGACACCCGAGGCGTTAAAAGAGACATTAAAATCTATAGGAGGTCGTGCTTTCTGTTGATGTACCGTTCGGCATGTATTAGCAGATAATTCGTTTCGTATGAGCTGTTATTGATCCGGGTTTTATAGCACCACTGATACACATCAACACTCCAGACATAAAACAATCCACGCCGATGGGCATCTGAACTGTTTCTCTACCACCTCGGGTCGAAATTAGCAGGGAAAATGCCGTGGTTCACTCAGAAAACTGGGTTTGAGTCTATAATTTCATAAACGTTAGGCATTTTTTCTCGAGACGAAACCACAAGGAATGCAACTTCCACAACCGAAGTCTCAGTACTACCATCAGTGGGTGGAAGTTAAACTGTTTCGACTTTGTCTTCTGGTTGATTTATGACTATAGAGCATTAAATAAATTAGATGATATTAGTTGAATTTGTTTATTTGTGAAAATCATTCACCGTACAGTAGCTTGCTATCGTTGTACCGTAATTTAAACGATTAATATACATAATTAATAAAATTAGAGAGACACGTTACACGTAGGTGGGTAAATGAAAATGAATGAGCCAGTTAATTGTCATTTTCAAGAAATATCTTAGATCACTTTAAACTTCAAGTCACTGAGTGGTAGTAGTGATAGCGAAATAGGGAAATACCCTTCGTGTCGTTCAGCACTTTACAGTTTACTAAAATTACTGCTCGTTAATTGACATTTGTTATAACTGAAATGTCAGCTTTCAAGCGTGATGTGAGCATAAGTTTAGGACTGTTTGAAGAGACTCCACCAAAAAAGCAGTCTATACTCAGGGTATGTACAGTAGTTATATTGTGTTTGTTTATTGCTAGAATATTTTTAGGTGCTTTATTAATATCCTAACCCCCCCTCCCCCATCACAGGACAGTCTTAACATTTTAGAGGGTGGTAAGACTAGGTTTCCCGGCTTTCTGATGCTTTTAACAACCCCAGAACATCTAGAACTGGCCATAACCTCAACCCACCTACATCCCACGAGGTCCCACGACTGCATGCAGCCTATCTACCACCCCTCTAAATATTAGACTGTCCCATGACCTGTGGATATATAACCTGTTTGGGGTTAAATATTAATAAAGCACCTATTTTTGTACACATTAACAAAAATAACAGTTTTGCATCCACAAAAGCCATAAAAAGGGGAGGGGAATATGGAATAAAACAACAATGATGAACATTTACTTACATATCTAAGTAAACAGTGTTCTCCTGCTGTAAATTTAAACACAGAAAAACACAAACAATATATACAACAGTTCTTTGCCTAGCATGTTCCCTGTTTCTCATCAGATACAAACTGCAGTATCAGTTGAATAGATTGAAGCAAATAATTCAAGTGCACTTGTGTACCAGTTGTCACCATTATTAACACATCCAAGCATAGCTATGAGTGCAAAGAGGCAGAATATAAACAGCATATTCATTCCAACATTAAGCTACCAGTGCCAAACATGGACACTATCTAAAGACCATATATGCAAAGTCACCACCTGTGAGATGAGGTGCCTGAGAAAAGCACCCAACCTAACCATCTGAGATCGAGCGAATAATCAAACTATCAGGCAAATTGTGGGAATGACACTGTGTACTAGATTCATCGAGAAACAGCAGATCAAGTGGCTTGGCCATCTTGTTAGAATGCAGCAAGATCAAATACCATCACAAGCACATCTCAGAAGATCAGCTACAAGGACAAGAAGACGGTTGCAGATCGACAACAATAAAGACATTCTATGCCTATATGGCATGACAATAGCCAGTGGCAGCCAGCGTGCACCGGATCGAAAATTATTCCTCCCCACGACGCTTAACGGCAGAAGTGGTTTATGAAGTTGATGGAAATAATAAATTCTTTACAACATAAATACATAATAAACCACTCTGAAAAGTAAATGACTTTTTTTACTAGGGCAAGTGCAGACTTCTGTCAACCTCGACCTGTGGCAATCCTAAGGTTTCTCAGAGTGGTCACGATAAATTACTTGTCTAGATTCGTGTAAATTAAAAGACAGTAGTGAAGAATCCTTGTAAAGGATTTGCTAGTAATCCTTCCAAAGTATTAATTTATTTCTGTCCATTGGCAGTTATTTGTCTTTTTCCCGGCTGCTTCTTAAAGAACTAACTGGCTTTTTTGTTTTCTGTCCATTCTGCATTTCTGAAAGTACTAGTTGTATCGCTGAATTTAAAAAAAAAAAAAAAATTTTTTTAGGGTTTCAGGGAGATATAAGGTTCTAGTTTTTACTTTTCTGACCACTTCATCCATAAACAGTTGATGTTACTGTAGAGTTGCTCTGACCACCTCAACCCTAAACAGTTGATGTTACTGTAGAGTTGCTCTGACCACCTCAACCATAAACAGTTGATGTTACTGTAGAGTTGCTCTGACCACCTCAACCATAAACAGTTGATGTTACTGTAAAGTTGCTCTGACCACCTCAACCATAAACAGTTGATGTTACTGTAGAGTTGCTCTGACCACCTCAACCATAAACAGTTGATGTTACTGTAGAGTTGCTCTGACCACCTCAACCATGAACAGTTGTTTTTCCTGTAGAGTTGCTCTGACCACCTCAACCATAAACAGTTGATGTTAGTGTAGAGTTGCTCTGACCACCTCAACCATAAACAGTTGATGTTACTGTAAAGTTGCTCTGACCACCTCAACCATAAACAGTTGATGTTACTGTAGAGTTGCTCTGACCACCTCAACCCTAAGCAGTTGATGTTACTGTAGAGTTGCTCTGACCACCTCAACCATAAACAGTTGATGTTACTGTAGAGTTGCTCTGACCACCTTAACCATAAACAGTTGATGTTACTGTAGAGTTGCTCTGACCACCTCAACCATAAACATTTGATGTTACTGTAGAGTTGCTCTGACCACCTCAACCATAAACAGTTGATGTTACTGTAGAGTTGCTCTGACCACCTCAACCATAAACAGTTGACGTTACTGTAGAGTTGCTCTGACCACCTCAACCATAAACAGTTGACGTTACTGTAGAGTTGCTCTGACCACCTCAACCATAAACAGTTGATGTTACTGTAGAGTTGCTCTGACCACCTCAACCATAAACAGTTGATGTTACTGTAAAGTTGCTCTGACCACCTCAACCATAAACAGTTGATGTTACTGTAGAGTTGCTCTGACCACCTCAACCATAAACAGTTATGTTACTGTAGAGTTGCTCTGACCACCTCAACCATAAACCGTTGATGTTACTGTAGAGTTGCCATGACCACCTCAACTATAACAGTTAATGTTACTGTAGAGTTGCTCTGACCACCTCAACCATAAACAGTTGACGTTACTATAGAGTTGCTCTGACCACCTCAACCATAAACAGTTGATGTTACTGTAGAGTTGCTCTGACCACCTCAACCATAAACAGTTGATGTTACTGTAGAGTTGCCATGACCACCTCAACTATAACAGTTAATGTTACTGTAGAGTTGCTCTGACCACCTCAACTATAAACAGTTGATGCTACTGTAAAGTTTCTCTGGTGTTACCTTTCTATCTTGTTCTTGGTCTACTTGGGCCCTACATTGCTCTCCTCATTTGGCATATGTCTTCTGTGTCCTACAGCAGACTGCAATATTTTATCTGTACGACTAACGCCTGTGACTGTGACAATCATTTTGTTGATTAGGTTAACCCTCCTAGAGACATGATTTTTAAATAACTAAATATGATTGAAATACTTCTTAATATATTTTCCATTCCTTTTTTTTTCCCCAGTCATGGCGACGATTATCAAGTTTACAACGCATGGTTGTTGGTCTTCTACTACTGTGTACTGTCATCATTGCATTCTTTGTCTTACCTGGCATACTAAATGGTGAAAGTGGTTCCATGAATTCATCATTAAATGGTAGTGACAGGAAGGCTGCACCATCTGGTGACACAAATGATAAGGACGCACTGGACAAAAATTTACCAGAGGTAATTTTTTGCTAGTATTGTTTCATTCATATTTAACTTATTTATCTCACAATGTGAAGGTTACTGTTAAATTTTGCCAGGATCCTTTTTTGTGTGTGTTGTTAAATGTTTATGTCTTTCATTGCAAATGTGGATTCCTAAAGGTGGAGTACTGCCATTACTGCCAGAATTTACCACTTTTGCAGTGTAAGGGATGGGGGGGGGGGTGGTCTTTGAGCCTGAGGATTTAGGGAGCCATGGTTTGTCTGCCACGGAGTTTTGTGTATGGAAGGGAAAGGAACGTAGATGCTAACACCCCTAGAACATAGGACGGCCTGTGAGAACGGACACTACATGAATGGGAGCCGACATAAAATCTCGTGCCCGGCGAGATGCGATTATTTTCGTGATATGCATCGGTAGTTAACTAGGGCACGTTTAGCTAGTTAGAATGCTGTAATGTTATGAAGTCTAAGTAGTCAGTGACTCCTTTGATACATCATCTCCTTGGTCTGTCTCTCTGCCACTTTATGTTTCCATTTTCCTGCTGTACACTCTTGCTGTAGGCATTTCTGGGCTCATTCTCATTAAATGGCCGAACCAAATACAAGCATTGAAAACACTTTCTCCTCCATAACCGAGTTATTCTCAGTGTTTCTGATCAGTGCAACAATACTGATCAGATACTAAGTATTCACCGTCTGTAAACTCTGACAGCAGGTTGTGGTTGTTTGTCTGCTTCTGAAATGAACAGGCAGGCAGATTGGCTGGATCTGCACCACTGGGTGGTGAACTGATACATGACAAGGCAGATGTGGTAAGAGCTCTTTGGGAACAAGCAACGGAATCAGTAGAGAAAGAAGATAATTATGGCCGGGAGAGAATGATGCACCTGCTCACTGCACTCAGAGGAAAGGCAAGATGAACATATAACCAGATTGTGACCGGTACCATCAGTAGTGGAACTCTGCGCTAGCTGCTGAAGGGGAGGATGGAGCACACATGGGAATGCCCCGAGTGCTGTGATGTCAATTCTTGACTCAACTCAACTGATCAGATACTGAGTATTGTCTGTTTCTTCTTCTTAGCATTCACCGTCTGTAAACTGCGACAGCAGGTTATGGTTGTTTTTCTGCTTCTGGACTTTGGCCTTGTTCCAGAACTTGAGTTTTGCATATACACTAGTTTTACAGATCTACATCTATATTAATAAAAATGTCAATTTTCCGAGTTTAAGTCTCAACTCGGAAACTACTGAACTGATTGCTTTCAAATTTTCACACAACGTTGCCTCTGACTCAAAGCGTGATTTTTTATCATAAAATCACACAAACCACAAACAATGTAGCTCCAGCAACGGTCAAATCATTATTTGTTTCGTTGCCCGCCTGTATTTGTTTTTAGTTCATTGGCCGCCTTCGACTGCTGAGCAGGGCTGCCAGTAAATGCCTTTTCCCCATGGATCAATTTCCGACATTTCTTTACCGATCGCTTACAAATTTTCACACAACGTTGCCTTAGACTCCACGTGTGTTTGTATGTATGAGTTTTACAAAAAACACAAACGACGTAGCTCCAGCAATGATCATTTCATTAGTTATTTCATTGCCGGCCCGGATTTATTTTTAGTCGATTGGCCACCTTCGACTGTGTAACACCAAACTTCAAATTATTATTATATACTTTTATTTCTACTAAATGCTTGAGTATTTAGTAGCGTAGTTGGTTGTAAGCATTTCGCCTTTTACACGGGTGATAAGGTTTTGATTCCCCGTGATAATTTAAAAAAAAATTTTTTTTGGGCCCCTAACTGGGTGGCTGCCACGTTTTGTTGTGGTTTATAGCTAGGCTGCAATATCTACACTTTTTTTCCCCGTTCGATTTTGGGGTTTACACCTAGCCTGTGATAGCGGCGACGTGATGCTCAATGTTCGTGTCACAGGTAATATTCGTTCGCCCTTGAGAGGGCGGTTGGCACGTTGTGTTGTGGTTTACAGCTAGGCTGCGATATCTGACCCAAAGTCTTCAGTCTTAAGTAGTAGAGTTGTAAGTATTATGCTCTTCATTCGATTCCCCGCTGGGTGCTGATTTTTCTTTTTCCCCTACAGAGGCGATTGGCACGTTGAGTTGTGGTTTACAGCTGCGCCTTATGCCCAGAGACATCCAATTTCAGTACAGTCCAACTTAGCCTCCCCCTGACGCTTTACTCGATCATATACTATTCGTTGATGACAGAAACTGTTAACTAAGACGGCTTAGCGTCCACTTTGGTTTGGGTTGACACGGATGCCAAGGTTAATTAAATATCGGCCCTTCGGAGAGGGAGAGATGGCGAGTGTGGGTTTTTATTTCCGCTATTTGTGAGTATAGTGTACTTTGTTTTTTAAATCACAGAATATTACTGTGGGTTCCACCACTGGTTAGGTGATGGAGTTTTATGTCGGGGACACACTTAAACTAAACAGTCCGTGGCGACAGCATGCGGCGCTAACTCCTCTTTTCTACACAGACCTACACAGACTGTAGTGACAGTTTTTGTTGTTGTTGTGGTGATGGTAGTGGTTGCAGTAGTACTGGTACTGGATGGGTGATGTGGTAGCTGTTACACTGGCCACATTTACTTCTCATTACAAGTTAATACTACCTATTTAAGCCTGGGTGGACACAAATGCCAAGCTCAATTTAGTTACAATATTTCATCACATAGTGACTTTCCCATCCTTCCACGGAGAGGATGATATGATTGGGGGAGGGGGGGGGGGGTGGGTTATGCCAGACGCAGTTAGCTGAGAGAGCTTAAAATATTATTTTAAAGTTCTCATTTCTTAACTATTTCTATTTTAATAATTTCGCCAAGTGATGATTTTTCAATCCTTTGGAGAGGGAGATATGATTGTTGGGGGGGGGGGGGGGGGGGGGGTATGCCAGACCCAGTTTGAGAGCTTAAAATATTATTTTAAAGTTTCCATTTCTAAACTATTTCTATTTTAATAATCTCGCCATGGATGATTTTTCAATCCTTCAGAGAGGGAGATATGATTGGGGGGGGGGGGGGGGGGGGGGGTTATGCCAGACACAGTTAGCTGAGAGAGCTTAAAATATTATTTTAATGTGCTCATTTCTTAACTATTTCTATTTAAATAATTTTGCCAGGTGATGATTTTTCAATCCTACGGAGAGGGAGATATGATTGGTGGAAAGGGGAGGAAGGTTATGCCAGACACAGTTAGCTGAGAGAGCTTGAAATATAATTTTTTAACGTTCTAATTTCCTAACTATTTCTATTTTAATAATTTCGCCATGGATCATTTTTTAATACTTCGGAGACTGGGTTGGGGGGGGGGGGGGGGGTATGACAGTCACTGTTAGCTGAGAGCTATTTTCTTTCCTCTCCATTTCACCATTCTGGGCCACAGCAACGCGTGGCCGGGTACAGCTAGTTTTACATAAAGGATCTCTTTTCCATTCCTTCAGGCGTGTTGGGCTTATAGAGCTAGGGCTGTATTTTATATACCATTCAGCGCTCAGTGAGTGATATGATGAGCATCATGCAGCCTGCTTTTACTTCCCAGGACATCCTTTGGTACCCGGTTAAGGCTGGGTCAGTCTGAGAGCCAAGGTCATTGAGGGAGGGGGGGGGAGGGGGGCTGGCTCTACCAGGGCCTGAACCTATGACTTTCAGATTTGCAGGTGAGCATCTTGCCGTTACACACAGTGGCTGCATATTTTACATAATATTTTTGTCTGTTCATTTCTGTTTATAGTCTCAGCAAGATGGCAGTGACAAAAGGGGTGTGGATGACCAACATAAACAGGTTGATCAAATGGTAGGTCAAGCTTGTGTTACATAAAATCTTGTTCTTCATTGTCTTTCACATTGTATTCTCCATTGCTGTTGGTTTGTATGCCAGCATCAGTTGAGGAAGACAGAATGACTTTCTTCCCCCGGTTGTAACATCTGCCAGTAAACACTGGATAGCCACTAAGAGATGGAAGATAAGTTCCAAAAACAGCTGCTTGTGAAAACTGATGAAATTAAATTGGGTGAAATTAAAAAAGAGGCTAAAGAAATCTATCTAGGGAACTAGAGTGTCTTCTTCTTCTTCTTCTTCTTCTTCGATCCTTCTGCCAGAAAACTTGTATCAGGAGGCCGGTAGCCTTTATGAAAGCTATCGTGCAATCCATATCTTCTCGTGTACCATACAGTTTTGTCTTTGTTGTGGTTGGGACAGGCCAGATTGCGTCTCTGTTGTCAGCTTACAGTTGGCAGTGTTGGAGCACATGCTCAGCATTTTCGGGGGCCATTCTGCAGGGATACGTCTCCGTATTTCCTACACCGAAAAATGTGAACATATGTTGACGAAATCTGTTGTGCCCAGTCCTTAGTCTGAATATAATACACTGTCCCTCTCTAGAGAGGCGATGAAGCGAGTCATGGGGAAAAAATCTGGTGTGGGTATCCAGCCACCTTTCTTGGATACTAGATTGTATTAATGTTTTCGTCTTTCGTGGGTTAAGTCGCTATTTGGTTGTACCATGTCACTTCGGCTTTTTGCCAACCTGTCCACTATTTCATTGCCTTCCAAGCCACAGTGACCTGGAATCTACTGCAGTACAGATTGTTTACTGAAGAGCCCAAGTGAATCAGCTGTTGTGTCAAGTCTACAAAAAAAGTATTTTAAATAATTTAGAAAGTTGTTTAATAATGTTATGCCACATCATCTACTAATGTTAACATAACAGCTCTTCATTTTTTTTCCCAATGTTATACAGGTTGGGCCTCTAGATGATCACAAATATGTGTCAACCTATGACTTCTTTAATGGTAAAGTTACACATGTCTTATTATAAGTAAATTTGTTTGGTTGTTTCATGCATTTGAAATGTTTTAGGTTTATCCGTTAATTACATATCCATCTTTACAGCAGACTTATCACCCCATAGTTACTCTATTCACTTGCCAGCAAAAACCAGACATATTGTACTGTGCTGTCTATTAAGGGGGAAAAATATTAAAACAGGCTGCAGTCTTGGCAATGCAATAGCATACTCACACAGAAAGGCTTAAGAAGTTCTAAAGTATGAAGAATTCAAAATGAGTCCAATTGCAGAGCGCAAAGATTTCTTGAAGCCTCTACTATTCGTTACCTTTGCAAGCAGAAAGGCATGACAGGGATTGCCCTGGTAAAACAGCCAGTTGCTTTTGAGGGTGTTTGAATTTGTACTTCAGTTATAAAGGTTTGACTTATTTATTTCATTGAATTCAATTGTTATTGTAGCATGCACTTGGCAAAACACAGCAGAATTTGTCAGGCAATAAATTGTGTAAGCTATTGTTTGTGTCTTCTTTGTTTACATTTACAGCAGGGAAGCATTGCTTTGATTTACAGAGATGTACAGTTTACACACAGACATGCAGTTTGGATAAAGATGTATAGAAATGTACCGTTTACACACAGACATGCAGTTTGGATAAAGATGTATAGAAATGTACAGTTTACACACAGACATGCAGTTTGGATAAAGATGTATAGAAATGTACAGTTTACACACAGACATGCAGTTTGGATAAAGATGTATAGAAATGTACAGTTTACACACAGACATGCAGTTTGGATAAAGATGTATAGAAATGTACAGTTTACACACAGACATGCAGTTTGGATAAAGATGTATAGAAATGTACAGTTTACACACAGACATGCAGTTTGGATAAAGATGTATAGAAATGTACAGTTTACACACAGACATGCATTTTGGATAAAGATGTATAGAAATGTACAGTTTACACACAGACATGCAGTTTGGATAAAGATGTATAGAAATGTACAGTTTACACACAGACATGCAGTTTGGATAAAGATGTATAGAAATGTACAGTTTACACACAGACATGCAGTTTGAATAAAGATGTATAGAAATGTACAGTTTACACACAGACATGCAGTTTGAATAAAGATGTATAGAAATGTACAGTTTACACACAGACATGCAGTTTGGATAAAGATGTATAGAAATGTACAGTTTACACACAGACATGCAGTTTGGATAAAGGTGTATAGAAATGTACAGTTTACACACAGACATGCAGTTTGAATAAAGATGTATAGAAATGTACAGTTTACACACAGACATGCAGTTTGGATAAAGATGTATAGAAATGTACAGTTTACACACAGACATGCAGTTTGGATAAAGATGTATAGAAATGTACAGTTTACACACAGACATGCAGTTTGGATAAAGATGTAAAGAAATGTACAGTTTACACACAGACATGCAGTTTGGATAAAGATGTATAGAAATGTACAGTTTACACACAGACGTGCAGTTTGAATAAAGATGTATAGAAATGTACAGTTTACACACAGACGTGCAGTTTGAATAAAGATGTATAGAAATGTACAGTTTACACACAGACATGCAGTTTGAATAAAGATGTATAGAAATGTACAGTTTACACACAGACATGCAGTTTGAATAAAGATGTATAGAAATGTACAGTTTACACACAGACATGCAGTTTGAATAAAGATGTATAGAAATGTACAGTTTACACACAGACGTGCAGTTTGAATAAAGATGTATAGAAATGTACAGTTTATAGACAGACATGCAGTTTGAATAAAGATGTATAGAAATGTACAGTTTACACACAGACATGCAGTTTGAATAAAGATGTATAGAAATGTACAGTTTACACACAGACATGCAGTTTGAATAAATATGTATAGAAATGTACAGTTTATAGACAGACATACAATTTAAGTAAAGATGTATAGAAATGTACAGTTTACACACAGACATTCAGTTTAAAAAAATATGTATAGAAATGTACAGTTTACACACAGACATACAGTTTAAATAAAGATGTATAAAAGTGTACTGTTTATACACAGACATACAGTTTAAATAAAGTTGTATAGAAATGTACGGTTTACACATAGACATACAGTTTAAATAAAGATGTATAGAAATGTACAGTTTACACACAGACATACAGTTTAAATAAAGATGTATAGAAATGTATGGTTTACACACAGATATACAGTTTGGATCAAGGTACAAAGTTTAAGATTGAGGTCGCCAGGTAAAGACATGAGTCATCCGATACCTGTGTGTCTCTCCGTTGAATGCTTCACCCTGTTCATCTTTACTAACTATTGCTTTCTTATATATCTTTATATATATCCTCCCAAAAAATTTTAAAATATAGAAAAATATCTTTTAAAGTGACCTGTTATTTTTTTATCGGTTTATCTTTTTCTGGATATTTTATTGAGATCATGACCTATGGTTTTTAGTGTTTCCAGGAAAAATGGGTTAAACAGTCCTTTACATGTTTATACTGAATGTAAACAATGCTTTATACTTTTATGTTGACTTTAAACAATGCTTTATACCTTTATATTGACCTTAAACAATGCTTTATTTGTTTATATTGACTTGTATTTCTACAACATCAGGTCAGGTTCAGACCGACAGACAAAAACAGGTTGTGGCTGCTTTCAAGCATGCATGGGCCGCTTACAAAAAGTACGCCTGGGGTCATGATGAACTTCACCCTATCAGCAAGTCCTCGTCCGAGTGGTTCGGGACCGGCCTGACCTTGGTGGACTCCCTGGACACTATGGTCATTATGGGTTTGAAAGATGGTCAGTTTGGTTTCATTTTACTCTGTAGGTCATTTTTGTTTCATTTTACTCTGTAGGTCAGTTTGGTTTCATTTTACTCTGTAGGTCATTTTTGTTTCATTTTACTCTGTAGGTCAGTTGGGTTCTCTATCACTCTCTGGGTTAGTTAGGTTCTGTCTTACATGGTGAGTCAGGTTAGGTTTTTTTTTTTTTACTGTGTGAGTCAGTTTGGTTCTATGTCATTCTGTGAGTCAGTCAAGTTCTGTTTTACTCTGTGGGTCATTTTGCTCCCATATCAGTCTGTAGGTTAGTTTGGTTCTATATCACTCTGTGAGTCAGTCAGGTTTTATTTTACTCTGTGGGTAAGTTTGGGTTAATTTGACTGTGGCCTAATTTGGTTTTATGTTTTACAAAAATAGGTTAGTTTAGTTGTATTTAACTGTATGGGTCATTTAGGTTGAGTTTTAACTTGTGGGTCAGCTAGGTTCAATTTTACTCTGTGGGTCAGTTAGGCTCTGTTTTACTCTGTGGGTCCGTTAAGGTCTATTTTATTCTGTAAACCACAATACAGTGTATTAACTGCACTTTTAAAAGTAAATGTAGAAGAAGAAGATAAATATGTTGTATCGTTTTCTTTTTATTTCATCTTGCCTAGAATATGAGGAAGCCAAGCAGTGGGTAGAGCAAAACCTCACTTTTAATGTTGACCGTTACGTTAATCTCTTTGAGGTGACCATACGAATTCTGGGCTCCCTGCTAGCAACCTACCACCTTACAGGTGACCTAGTGATGAAATCAAAAGCGGTAAGAAGCGTCGTTAAGTATGTTTACAACATGCAGTTTTTTTATTTTACATGTTATTTCATGTTACCACAATCAACTAATTGCTACTTCAGAAACTGAACTGCAAGACCATATAAATTTTTTGAACCAAATTTGCAAAGAACATAACATGAAAGTTAACGCTATTAAAACAAAGGTCATGATCGTAGACAAAGAAGACAAAAACATAAAATATGAAACTTACAGAACACCCTCTGAAACAAACCAAGAACTTCAAATACTTAGGAAGCATAATATCATCAGCTGGCAAAACAGAAGATGAGATTGATGACAGATGTAACAGAGAAAACCAACTCATTAGGCAAATGGCATCAATACTAAGACACAAACACGTATCTGTAGAAGCCAGAAAATGACTCTATAACACAATCTTTTTGCCAAACCTGTGTTAGCGATACCAGACCTAGACAATGAAAGAAAAAGGAAAAATTACATCAACTGAAATAAGATTTCTGTGAAGGGCTGTCAATATAACAAGAAGAGTTAAGATCAGAAATGATGAAATACAAAGGGAAATGAAGGTAAGAGCAGCTCTGGATTTGATTATAAGACAACACGTGAAATGGTTTGGCCATATAAAGCAGATGTCAGCAAACAGTATACCACAGCAAGCAGTGATGTACAGCCCAGGTGGGAATCGAAGAAGAGGCCGACCATACAAGCAATGAACAGAGAGAATTACAGAGTCCCTGGGAATCCCCATTTATGAAGCATACAAACGGGCGCTTTCCTGTAAATTATACTGCACCTCGGCACAGCAAGGTACTAGAGGATCAAGATGAGTTGATGATGAGGCAATCAATGTCACTGCACGTTGGACATTCCCATGCGTGCTCAGTCCTCCACTCCGATGTGTCTCTACTAATTGTTCCCATGAGGAACTGGTTATAATGTCTCTTATCTTGGCTTCAGCTGCAAGACGGATGTGCTTCATTCACCATGCTTCTTGTCCTACCTGTTGCATGATAGTTATGAATTTTTTTTTTTTATAACTCTCCCTAGCAAAGGCCTTGGCATGAATGGGAGGGGAAGGAACTCTTGCAATGCAGGCAAGTTCCGAGAATTGTATATTGATACAATTTCACGTTTGGAAGAGATGGCAGCCCAGCCATGTAATATTCTCACAGATAGAAGTTGAAACACCATTGATTTGGGTTGAAAATCAACATCACAGCACTCAGGACACTCACATAAGGGCTCCATACCCATCTTCAGCAGCCAGCAAAGAGTGCCAATACCATTGCTACCAGCATCACCCTGATTATAGGTCCATCATGCCTTCTCCAGAGTGTAGAGGGCCGGCCAGATCCTCCTATTTGTGCTTCCACATTGTTCACTTGTTGCCAGTGGGTCTTGACTATATCTAGCCTGTCATGCATCAGTACACCACCCAGTGGTGCAGAACCAACCAGTCTAAGTTGATGCACATTTCCCCAAAACACACATGGGTAGTTTTTTGAGAACAGTGCAAATGATATAATGGACTGATAAAAAAACAAACCAGCTGATCACCTTGAGGCGGCACAAAACTGTAAACTGATTAGAAAAATGAGACAAATACACAGTGTTTTTTTTGGGGGGAGAGAAAGAATGTACTTGATAACTTGGTAACGACTGGCAAGGTTGATGGAAAGAGAGCAAGAGGGAGGCAAAGAGATAAATGCCTGGATGACTTAGCCATTTGGATGGGGCAAGACAAGAAGACTTACTTAGTTTGTTGATATCATGAGTTAGTTTATTGATATCATGAGTTAGTTTATTGATATCATGATCTAGTTTATTTGTATCATGAGTTAATTTATTAGTAACGTGAGTTAGTTTATTGGTATCATCAGGAAGTTTATTGGTATCATGATTAGTTTATTGGTATCGTGAGTTAGTTTATTGGTATCATGATTACTTTATTGGTATAGTGAGTTAGTTTATTGGTATCATGAGTTGATTTATTGGTATTGTGAGAGATTATTGGTATCATGAGTTATTTTATTGGTATCATGATTTAATTTATTGAATCATGAGTTTATTTATTGGTATCATGAGTTAGATAATTTGTATCATGAGTTAGTTTATTGGTATCATGAGTTAGTTTTTTTGGCAGTGAGTTATTTTATTGGTGTCATGAGTTAGTTTATTAGTACAATAATTTAGCTTATTGGTATCGTGAGTTAGTTTATTGGTATTAGGATTTAGTTTATTGTATCTTGCATTAGTTTATTGGCTGGTACCATAAGTTAGTTTATTGGCTGGTACCATAAGTTAGTTTATTGGCTGGTACCATGAGTTAGTTTATTGGCTGGTACCATGAGTTAGTTTATTGGCTGGTACCATAAGTTAGTTTATTGGCTGGTACCATGAGTTAGTTTATTGGCTGGTACCATAAGTTAGTTTATTGGCTGGTATCATAAGTTAGTTTATTGGCTGGTATCATGAGTTAGTTTATTGGCTGGTACCATAAGTTAGTTTATTGGCTGGTACCATAAGTTAGTTTATTGGCTGGTACCATAAGTTAGTTTATTGGCTGGTACCATAAGTTAGTTTATTGGCTGGTACCATAAGTTAGTTTATTGGCTGGTATCATAAGTTAGTTTATTGGCTGGTATCATAAGTTAGTTTATTGGCTGGTATCATGAGTTAGTTTATTGGCTGGTACCATAAGTTAGTTTATTGGCTGGTACCATGAGTTAGTTTATTGGCTGGTACCATAAGTTAGTTTATTGGCTGGTATCATAAGTTAGTTTATTGGCTGGTACCATAAGTTAGTTTATTGGCTGGTATCATGAGTTAGTTTATTGGCTGGTACCATAAGTTAGTTTATTGGCTGGTATCATGAGTTAGTTTATTGGCTGGTACCATAAGCTAGTTTATTGGCTGGTACCATAAGTTAGTTTATTGGCTGGTATCATGAGTTAGTTTATTGGCTGGTACCATAAGTTAGTTTATTGGCTGGTATCATGAGTTAGTTTATTGGCTGGTACCATAAGTTAGTTTATTGGCTGGTATCATAAGTTAGTTTATTGGCTGGTATCATGAGTTAGTTTATTGGCTGGTACCATAAGTTAGTTTATTGGCTGGTATCATAAGTTAGTTTATTGGCTGGTATCATAAGTTAGTTTATTGGCTGGTACCATAAGTTAGTTTATTGGCTGGTACCATAAGTTAGTTTATCGGTATCATTTTTGTTTCCGTCAGGTTGATCTTGGAGATCGACTACTGCCATCTTTTAACCCAGACTCAAAGATTCCATATTCAGATGTCAATCTGGCAAAAGGTTTGGCTCGAGCCCCTAGATGGGGTCCAGACAGCAGTACCTCTGAGGTTACCACTATACAGTTAGAGTTCCGGGACCTGACCGCAATCACTGGGAATAACAAATATGCAGTAATTTTTTAAAATATATGTTTACCATTGTTAACAAAATAAGTTCTTCAGCATTTTGTTTCTTGTTGTAGGGCTCATTATTTTTGTGTTTGTCTAGTGTACTTCGAAATCGTTAGTGAGAAGTATGCATGCCACAGGCCATATAAGACCATTGAACCCGTGAAATCATTTATTCTGGTCCACAGACCATATAAGACACTTGAACCCAGTGAAATCATTTATTCTGGTCCTCGGGCCATTCAAGACATGTGAACCAGTGAAAACATTTATTCTGGTCCTGCCAAGTCAACTGCAATAAACTGTTTGACCAAGAATAGCAGACAAAATTTGCTCTCGCCCAAGAACAATTTAATAAATATCCAAATGACCCTTGGCATACAGAGAAATGGTCCCCACACCTGATTTACATTATTGAATGGTAAGTATTTGCCTATCAGTTTACATGTAAGTGCCAGGTAACTTAGATTGGTCAAATGGAGAGACAGCTTGGAAACAGAAGGGCAGAACACATACTTAAATAGCTCTATGTGCAGTTGAGTGGAGATCCTGCAAGTGTGTCTTCTTCTTCTTCACCAGCTGTAAACTCCGGCTGAAAGTTCTGCTTGTTTATCCACCTCTGGACTGCAGTCTTGTTCCAGAACCTGGATGTTGTGTGTGCATCCATTTGACAGATCTGACTAATTTGTATGCAGACTGCTGGTTCCTTGCCTTTCAGGCAGATACACTCCGACTTTGAAAGAAGCTTCCAATTATTTGATTCTCACGACATGCTTTTGGGTAGGCAAAAGTGAAATCCAATTATTTGATTCTTACGACATGCTTTTGAGTAGGCAGTGGGTCTATTCTTGTTTTCCCTATAATAGGGCCCCGAAACAAACACGGGGAGCAAGTTTGTCAGCACCAGTCTAGAGAAAAGAACTCAGATCTTCAAAGGGACATCATTTACTTGCTTTCAGACATGTAATCAATAAGTACTGCACCTCCTAGTTTTATATCACATACAATTCTTATAACTGCTGTTGGCTGCCAATGAGTGTTCTTTATCATTCATAGATCTTTTCCATCAACGCTTAATTTTTCCAGTAGTTTCATTTTTTCTCTATGTTTCAAACATGATGCTCAAAAGACACACAAAGTGTCAGAAAATTGTCCTTATAAACATGACATTACACGTACTTTCTAGTCAGTGCCTGTTAATTTATATTTATTATATCTTCAAGGTTTCTCTAACACTGGAATTTTCCTTTAAGTGATTAATTGCTTGTTGCAAGTACACACATTTTTTAATCTACCAGAGTGCCGTTCATGAGGTATCGATGCACGTCCATGAGCTCCCTAAAACTGATGGCCTTGTGCCTATTTTCATCAATGCCAATTCAGGTGACTTTCGGCCGGCATCAACCATAACTTTGGGAGCAAGAGGGGATAGTTACTACGAATATTTGCTGAAACAGTGGATTCAGAGTGGTCGACAGTTGACAGTGTGAGTCTTCAGTGTGTTTCTGTGTGTGCACTTTATCATTTGGTGCCAGGGCTCCATTCTGGGGACAAAAATAAAAGAGAATAGATCCCCCCCCCCCCCAGGAATTTAGTAAGTCAACAAGTTAGGATGTTTTCTCCTAAGTTACAGTGCATCTGCCTGAGAGTCAAGGAACCAACAGTCTGTATACAGATAAGCCCACATCTGCAGAGTAGATATGCACCCAGAACTCACATTCTGGAACAAGAAGTCCAGAAGTGGACGGACAACCAGAACTTTCCACCAAAGTTTACTGGCGATGAACGTGAAGAAGTAGACTTGCTTTTCATGTAGTCTGGTCTTTGTTGTAGATTCACAAAGCAACTGTTCATACAAGGAACTATCTGCACACATTTTTTTCTTTCTTCTGCTTTTCCTGTTAAAAGTGCGGTTGGCACATTGTCTTTTTCTTCTTTCGTTCGCATGAAATAAATTATCTATATCTGCAATGCTGTCTCTAGTATGAATGTCACTGTCTTTATTACTTTTATCATCTTGCTCCTCAGTTTCAAGGATGATTTTGTATTTTATCATCCTGCTCCTCAGTTTCAGGGATGATTTTGTATTACTTTTTATCATCTTGCTCCTCAGTTTCAGGGATGATTTTTGTATTACTTTTATCATCCTGGTCCTGTTTTAGGGATAATTTTGTATTACTTTTATCATCCTGCTCCTCTTTCATTACTTTTATCATTTTACTCCTCTGTTTCAGGGATGTTTTTGAAATACTTTTTTCATCCTACTCCTTAGTTTCAAGGATGACTTTGCAGAGAGCGTAGAAGGAGTAAGGAAATGGTTGCTGAGAAAGTCGGAACCCAGCAAACTGCTCTTTGTAGGAGAGCTTCTTAATGGAAGGAACTTTAGTCCTAAAATGGTTGGTAATCAGGCTGTGTTTTTGAAATAGTTCTATGATTTTCATTGTTTCACATTATAATCATTTTATACTTACATTCTGTATCTTTACTGTGCTTACATTCTGTATCTTTACTATACTTACATTCTGTATCTTTACTTACATTCTGTATCTTTACTGTGCTTACATTCTGTATCTTGTGCTTACATTCTGTATCTTTACTATACTTACATTCTGTCTCTTTACTTACATTCTGTATCTTTACTGTACTTACATTCTGTATCTTTACTGTGCTTACATTCTGTATCTTTACTGTGCTTACATTCTATATCTTAACTATACTTACATTCTGTATCTTTACTGTACTTACATTCCATATCTTCACTATACTTACATTCTGTATCTTTACTATACTTACATTTTGTATTTGTACTGTACTTACATTCTGTATCTTTACTTACATTCCATATCTTTACTGTACTTACATTTTGTATCTGTACTGTACTTACATTTTGTATCTTTACTGTACTTACATTTTGTATCTTTACTGTACTTACATTTTGTATCTTTACTGTACTTACATTCTGTATCTTTACTGTACTTACATTTTGTATTTGTACTGTACTTACATTCTGTATCTTTACTGTACTTACATTCTGTATCTTTACTGTACTTACATTCTGTATCTTTACTGTACTTACATTCTGTATCTTTACTGTACTTACATTCTGTATCTTTACTGTACTTACATTCTGTATCTTTACTGTACTTATATGCTGTATTTGTACTGTACTTACATTCTGTATCTTTGCTGTACTTACATTTTGTATCTTGACTCTGCTTACATTCTGTATCTTTACTATACCTACATGCTGTTTTTGTACTGTACTTAAATTCTGTATCTCTGTACTTACATTCTGTATCACTATACCTACATTTTGTATCTTTACTATACTTACATTCTGTATCATTACTGTACTTACATTCTGTATCATTACTGTACTTAAATTCTGTATCATTACTGTACTTACATTCTGTATCATTACTGTACTTACATTCTGTATCATTACTGTACTTACATTCTGTATCATTACTGTACTTACATTCTGTATCATTACTGTACTTACATTCTGTATCATTACTGTACTTACATTCTGTATCATTACTGTACTTACATTCTGTATCTTTACTGTACTTACATTCTGTATCATTACTGTACTTACATTCTGTATCATTACTGTACTTACATTCTGTATCATTAATGTACTTACATTCTGTATCATTACTGTACTTACATTCTGTATCTTTACTGTACTTACATTCTATATCATTACTGTACTTACATTCTGTAGCTTTACTTACATTCTGTATCTTTACTCTACTTACATGCTGTATTTGTACTGTACTTACATTCTGTATCTTTCCTATGCTTACATTCTGTATCTTTACTATACTTATATTCTGTATTTTTACTATGCTTACATTCTGTTTCTTTACTGTAACTTACATTCTAATATCTTACTATACATTCTATGAGTAATCTTACAGTACTTACATTTTGTGACTTACTACAGTTGATTAGTCATGGTTATCAGACCATCTTTTTTGACTTCCATATATTATTAAGCAACTGCTTCTTAGTGTTAATGTTGTATTCTGGCAGAATTATTCTTTAGCTGTTGTCCCCTTCCCCAGGACCATCTGGTTTGCTTCTATCCTGGCACTCTGGCTCTGGCCCACCATGCCGGTATGAGCAGTGAGTACCTGGAGCTGGCGAAGGAGCTGCTCAACACCTGCTGGGAGACCTACAACAGGATGCCCACCAAGCTTAGCCCAGAGATCACCTACTTTAACCTGGCAACAGGTGCAGGGGAGGATCTCATTGTCAAGGTGAGCCACAACAGTACCTGGATTATTTGCCTTGGTGTGCAGCTGCTTCTGAAGCATATTTATTGAAGAGGGTAGAATGCATAAGAGAGATAGATTCTAGGTACTGTCACCTGTCAGTTAAACCCCCCCCCCCCTTTCCCCCAGACACCTAGATGTCTCCCTTCCAGCAAAACAACAAATTCTACTTGTAGGTTCCAGGGCTTTGTTTTTGCGAACAAGGAATAGACCCACTGCTTCTCTAGTAGTGGGAAAGTGACTACTGAAAGAATTTTCCTTCATAGTCAGAGTGTATCTGCCTAAGAGGCAAGAAACCAATAGCCTGCCTACAAATAAGCTAGATCAGTAAAATGGATGTGCATGCAAAAATCTCAAATGGACAAACCACCAGAACTTTCCACCAGAGTCTACAGTCAGTGAACATAAAGAAGAAAAATTGAAAAGTTATTAATAGCGCCTTCATCGCCCACTTTATGCAATCAGTGCTAATCATGGACACTGAGAAGAGTAAAAATGGACAAAGAGAAGGGCACTGGAAGGGAAAAAACCACCTGTGGAATACACTATCTCCTAAAGAGTACCAACAACACAAGAAGGAATAGGGGCACAAATACCAGCACACTACAATTTCAACATAACAGTAGTGTCCAGGGTCATCTTGAAGCCTTCAACAACCGGCTCTGTATTAGTGGGACCTACACATTTGGGATCTTGGAAGATCTGAACATCAAAGACTGGCTAATAAACAGCAACCTGTCTCTGAAGCTAAAAAAGTTTGGTCATATCAAGCGCCATGACGGATTGGAAACAATTATAGCAGAAGGCATGGTACCAGGAAGGAGGGGCAGGGCCAACCAACATGAAGATGGGCACAGGATGTAAGTGACTCCTGAAGTAGGAAAGTGTATGAGGCGGGAGAACTGGCGAGAGACCTAGTTTATTTCAGGCAGACCGTGATTAGAGCAATGTTCTGCAAAGGACCTGCTACATGATGATGATGACACATTTGGACAAAATTGGTGACCTGTAATGAACCTTCAGATTTTGAATAATACCTTGACCAAAAGCTGTGTGAGAAGGTTAGAACAAGATGGCAACTAAATTACATTTGAGAGGCAGACTGAAGCTGGAATGTAGCCAGACCACACTGTATGTGAGACCTTCTACAGCAGAGCATCTGGGTGGAAATCAAGAGGAAGACCAAGGAAAACATGGATAGACGATGTAGCTGAAATCTGCACAAAAAGATTAACAAAAAATCATCCCTCAGGTTACTTGACAAGTGCAAGACAAGTACAGAAAACCATGACACTTCTTCTTCTTTGCAATCACCGGCTGTAAACTCTGGTGGAAAATTCTGGTTGTTCGTCCACTTCTGTACTGCAGTCCTCTTCCAAAACCTGAGTGTTCCGTTTGCATCCGTTTGACAGATCTGACACATTTGTGTGCAGTCTATTGGTTCCTTGCCTCTCAGGCAGATGCACTCCGACTTTGAAGGAAGCTCCCAATTAGTTAACTCTTACGACATGCTTTTGTTTAGGCATTGGGTGTATTCTTGTTTTACCTATAATAGGGCCCTGGAACCCACAAGGGGGACACTGGGATACAACCTAATAACATTATGGTGACAAAAGAAGAAAAAAAGTAATTCATTGTCACAGTGCAGTTTATCTGTTTCTATCTCACTTGTTACTTCAGCACTTACTAGCACTTGTCAGCACTTACTAGCTCACTGTGTCAGCACTTACTAGCTCACTGTGTCAGCACTTACTAGCTCACTGTGTCAGCACTTACTAGCTCACTGTGTCAGCACTTACTAGCTCACTGTGTCAGCACTTACTAGCTCACTGTGTCAGCACTTACTAGCTCACTGTGTCAGCACTTACTAGCTCACTGTGTCAGCACTTACTAGCTCACTGTGTCAGCACTTACTAGCTCACTGTGTCAGCACTTACTAGCTCACTGTGTCAGCACTTACTAGCTCACTGTGTCAGCACTTACTAGCTCACTGTGTCAGCACTTACTAGCTCACTGTGTCAGCACTTACTAGCTCACTGTGTCAGCACTTACTAGCTCACTGTGTCAGCACTTACTAGCTCACTGTGTCAGCACTTTAATGTAACAATTTTGGAGTTGAAATAACACTACTGTGGGACAGAATAAGCTGAAGAAAATAATGGGGTATGATTATTTAACAATGAGGCTCTGTGGCTTCAAGGTTAGTGAATGCGGTTAACAATTTCATGATCTCCTCGAGTACTAGGGTTCACTGTCTGCAGTGGAAGGTTCTAAAAAAAAAAAACACTCTCAGTGTTTTTGAACTATTGTACGAGAGTCGTGCCGTGGAAGAGATTGGGGGCGTAATATTCCAAGAGACAACACTGGTTCAATGTAGCCACCTTCATTGCGGAGATGGCACAGACATGTGTTAATTTAAAAATAAAACACTTCATCTAAGTAGTTCTCCCCCGAAGTCGGAGTACATCTGCCGGAGAGGCGGGGAACGAGAACTGCGAGCAAATAAGCCAGTAAAACGGATCTACACGCAAAACTCAGGTCAAGGTAAAAGTCAAAAGTCCATTTTGGACGAACAACCGCGACTTACCGCCGGAATTCACAGCCGGTGAACAAGAAGAAGAAAGAAGAAGAATCTAAGTAGTTCACCATTGTGCCCTTGTGGACTGTGAGTGCAGACTGCAGAACATGTCCTCTAAGAATGTTGCTTGTACAGCCCATTAAGAAGGAAATACTGGCCCAGTGAGTCACCACTGCACTCACAGTTGTATGGAACTGAAAGGGAACTCCTAAAAACATTCCAGTTTATCACAAGAACTTATCTGTCAGTGTAAATCGGAAAGTGAACACAAGAAGAAGGAGACATAAAATCGAGAGAATTTAGAAATAAATAAAATGTAAGGGGAACTCATCATTGTGTGCTCTGCCAATAAGCATAGGCAGTCATTTCAGTTTCTGCGTGGTCTTTCTCTTACTCTGTGATCATATTTCTTCAGCGTGGCTCTCTGTGGCAGTTAGTACCATGCATTCACTTCACATGGCCAAACCATTTCATCTGTTGTGCTTTAATGAACTCTATGACTGTTTTTAGCTCTAGTCTTCTATTTTTTTTTTTTCATTTTTATTTAATCTTTTCTCAATACTCCTGAAGCTCTTGTAAGATATTTCTGATATTATAATTTTGTGCTCGTTAATTGTAGCAAGGGTCTAGTATAACTGAAAAAAATTAGTTCTTATAAGATTTGCATTTATAGATAAAATTATCCTGCTGTTTCAGAAGTGATATTAGTTATCCCAGCACCCAATTTGCCTGATGTAGATCATATGTTGATCTATCATACCTGTTATATCTTTTGCTGGCTAGAGAAGGGATAGCTAGGGAAACACTTGCACTAGAAACAAAAGAAGGCATACCGAAGACCATTTATGAATAAATCCTGAAAGAAGACATGAAGTTAAATGAAACAGCATGTTTAAGAATATGTGAAGGAATTAAGTGTGGATCCAGCAAGGATGAGAGAAAGAATACATGTACAATCTGTGGGCTACGGGGAAGACTTAGCATCTATACTTTAAGATGTTTGCTGTGGGAGATTGAGCATCTGATGAACTACGATATTGATTCTTCTTCTTCTTCTTCTTCACGTTCACCAGCTGTACACTCTGGCGGAAAGTTCTGGTTGTTCGTCCACTACTGAACTGCAGTCCTGCTCCAGAACCTGAGTGTTGCGTGTGCATCAGTTTTACAGATCTCATTCTCTTGAATACAGACTGTTGGTTCCTTGCCTCTCCGGCAGATGCACTCCGACTTCAAAGGAAGCTTCCCAATTAGTCGACTCTTACGACATGCTTTTGGGTAGGCAGTGGGTCTATTCTTGTTTTCCCCTACAATGGGGCCCCAGAACCCACACGGGGGGATATTGATTCTTAAATGGGTAAACCTTTTAGATCTATTTTAATTTTTCTATACATTCACCAGCCTCTGGATGCCCACAACCTACTGAGACCAGAAACACTAGAGAGTATGTTTTATCTCTACCGGTTCACGGGCGACCAAAAATACAGAGACCAAGCCTGGCAGATATTCTTGGCTTTTGAAAAGCATACAAAACTGGCCGATGGCTACTCCTCGATTCACAACGTGAAGGATAGCAGAAATCCTAGATACAGGGATAAGATGGAGAGTTTTTTCCTCGCAGAAACGTTGAAGTATTTATATTTGATATTTAGTGACGATCCTGAGCTGATATCACTAGATAAATATGTTTTTAACTCAGAGGGTCACCCTCTGCCAATTTTACAAAGTGATTAATGGCTATATGTGTGGTGGACATGATTAATGGCTGTATGTGTGGTGGACATGATTAATGGCTGTATGTGTGGTGGACATGATTAATGGCTGTATGTGTGGTGGACATGATTAATGGCTGTATGTGTGGTGGACATGATTAATGGCTGTATGTGTGGTGGACATGATTAATGGCTGTATGTGTGGTGGACATGATTAATGGCTGTATGTGTGGTGGACATGATTAATGGCTGTATGTGTGGTGGACATGATTAATGGCTGTATGTGTGGTGGACATGATTAATGGCTGTATGTGAGGTGGACATGATTAATGGCTGTATGTGTGGTGGACATGATTAATGGCTGTATGTGTGGGGGACATAATTAATGGCTGTATGTTAGGTGGACATGATTAATGGCTGTATGTGAGGGGGACATGATTAATGGCTGTATGTTAGATGGACATGATTAATGGCTGTATGTGAGGGGGACATGATTAATGGCTGTATGTTAGATGGACATATTAATGGCTGTATGTTAGATGGACATGATTAATGGCTGTATGTGAGGTGGACAAAATTAATGTCTGTATGTGTGGTGGACATGATTAATGGCTGTATGTGTGGTGGACATGATTAATGGCTGTATGTTAGATGGACATGATTAATGGCTGTATGTGTGGTGGACAAAATTAATGTCTGTATGTGTGGTGGACATGATTAATGGCTGTATGTGTGGTGGACATGATCAATGGCTGTATGTGAGGTGGACATGATTAATGGCTGTATGTGAGGGGGACATAATTAATGGCTGTATGTGTGGTGGACATTATCAATGGCTGTATGTGTGGTGGACATGATTAATGGCTGTATGTGTGGTGGACATGATTAATGGCTGTATGTGTGGTGGACATGATTAATGGCTGTATGTGTGGTGGACATGATTAATGGCTGTATGTGTGGTGGACATGATTAATGGCTGTATGTGAGGTGGACATGATTAATGGCTGTATGTGAGATGGCCATGATTAATGGCTGTATAAGAGTATGTCAAAATGGTTCTATTTTAAGAGTATGTTAACAGTGGATCTATAGTAAGAATATGTCAAAAATGGCTCTGTAGTAAGAGTATGTCAAAAATGGCTCTATTTTAAGAGTATGTTCTTCTTCTTTGCGTTCACCAGCTGTAAACTCTGGTGGAAAGTTCTGGTTGTTCATACACGCTAGCCGCTTTTACTTCCCAGGAATGCATCTGGAACCCACTCAACGCTTGGAGTCGAGGTCATTTTTTGAAAAAAGTCGGTGGCAGATATTTGCACATAATAAATATATATATCGGTAGTGGTTCTTTTTTTTTTTTTTTTTTTTTGAATCTCCAAAATACCCCACCACACAAACACACTGAGAGAGAGCTAGTTAGCTTAGGAATACTACAGTTTTGAAAAGTATTTTCTCACATTAAAAGCAGTTGTTGTTATAGATACCACTGTTGAGATATTCTAGGTCAGGGCTGTTCAACAAAATTCACTCAGTGGCCTCAAAGATGAAAATGGGGACTGTCACGAACCAGAGCCTGAGCTCCCAAAAAAAAAAAATACATCAGTAATACACTACGGCTGACAGTGATCCATGGGCCAGACGCTAAGCCAGATTCAGCCCACAGGCCGTCAGTTAAATAGCCCCCAGTTTTAGTTCATACAGGGGGGTCCGTGGCTTAGGCGTTGCGAGTCCGACTCATAATTTCAACGCACCGTGATCAAAACCCACTGCTGGCTGTATGGATTTTTATCATGGTCAACCCAGCCTAAAATGGGAACCAGGATGGCTGTCCTGGGGAAGTAAAGATGGCCGGCGTAAAGCTGACCACATTATTTACACAGTGCCAATTGGTCAGTAAAAGTATGAGACACTCTTCCCATATGCCCGATGTGCCAAAGGCGTAAAAAGGGTTTTTACTTTATCATACACATGAGTTATGTGGCACCCTAGCTGCCATTGTTATTATGTTCAAATATTGAAATTAACACAAAAAGGTCTGCTGCACAACTGCCCGCAGCTGACTGTGAACCTGAATTATGAAACTGTTTATAACTCCTAAGTGGCAGAGACCAACTTACAGACCTGTTGGAAATTTAAAAAATAAAAGTATAATTATACCATTTCCATGTAAGTATCAATTGTATCATAGAAGTCGAGTTTTCAAGCCTAAAATCATTCCAAAACTAGGGGTCGACTTACATGGCAGGTATAAGATGTGTTAGGCCTAACTCAGAATTCTGAGCTTAAAATCTTGAATCAGCTTGTACACCAGGTTTTCTTTTATGCCATAATATACGGTAATTGTGCTATTATGTAAATTGGCATATGAAACTAAATAAACTAAATGATATGTGAGTTGTTGGAATGACTTCTTTCACTTAAGCCACCACCCTTGGTGCTCTTCTTCGATATTGGTAGTCATCAAGTAATGTTTATTTACCAGTATATGATTGTTGTGTTTATGATAGAGTGTGTATGTACGTGCGCAGACAAATAAGGGGTGGTACTAGGGTTTGTTTGTTTCATGTTATGAATCAGTAAAGGTCCCTTTTCCACTTCAGGCATATAGGGCTAGACCTATATTTTATAGATCAATCAGCACTTGGAGGGTGATGTAGTCAGCAACATGCTAGTTGCCTTTAATTCCCAGGAAGTTACCTGGTACCCATTTTAATTTGAGACTGGGTTGACCGGAGGGCCAATGTAATTTTTTTTTGGGGGGGGGGGGGGGGGGTCTGTCAAGACGACCCTCTGATTCGTAGGCAAGCGTCTAGCCTTTACACCGTGGCGGCTCCCATGTTGTTATGAGGTCATACTACACAACATACTGTTTTACTCTGTGTCTTTCCCTGTCTCTGGGTCTCACTCATTACTTACCACCTTTCTCTCTCTCCCTCTGTCTCACTCTTTACTTACCACCTCTCTCTCTCTCTCTCTCTCTGGGTCTCACCCTTTACTTACCATCTCTCTCTCTCTCTGGGTCTCACCATTTACTTACCACTCTCTCTCTCTCTCTCTCTCTCTCTGGGTCTCACCCTTTACTTACCATCTCTCTCTCTCTGGGTCTCACCATTTACTTACCACCTCTCTCTCTCTCTGGGTCTCACTCTTTACTTACCATCTCTCTCTCTCTCTGGGTCTCACCCTTTACTTACCATCTCTCTCTCTCTGGGTCTCACCCTTTACTTACCACCTCTCTCTCTCTCTCTGGGTCTCACCCTTTACTTACCACCTCTCTCTCTCTCTCTCTCTTTCTCTCTCTCTCTGGGTCTCACCCTTTACTTACCACCTCTCTCTCTCTCTCTCTGGGTCTCACCCTTTACTTACCACCTCTCTCTCTCTCTCTGGGTCTCACCCTTTACTTACCACCTCTCTCTCTCTCTCTCTCTCTGGGTCTCACCCTTTACTTACCACCTCTCTCTCTCTCTCTGGGTCTCACCCTTTACTTACCATCTCTCTCTCTCTGGGTCTCACCATTTACTTACCACCACCTCTCTCTCTCTCTCTGGGTCTCACCCTTTACTTACCTCTCTCTCTCTCTCTCTCTCTCTCTCTCTCTCTGGGTCTCACCCTTTACTTACCACCTCTCTCTCTGGGTCTCACCCTTTACTTACCACCTCTCTCTCTCTCTCTCTGGGTCTCACCCTTTACTTACCACCTCTCTCTCTCTCTCTTTCTGGGTCTCACCCTTTACTTACCACCTCTCTCTCTGGGTCTCACCCTTTACTTACCACCTCTCTCTCTCTCTCTCTCTCTCTGGGTCTCACCCTTTACTTACCACCTCTCTCTCTGGGTCTCACCCTTTACTTACCACCTCTCTCTCTCTCTCTCTCTCTCTCTGGGTCTCACTCTTTACTTACCACCTGTCTGTCTGTCTCTCTCTCTCTCTCTCTTTGGGTCTCACTACTTACCACCTGTCTCTCTCTCTCTCTCTGGGTCTCACCCTTTACTTACCACCTCTCTCTCTCTCTCAGGCCGGATGGTGAGTGCAATCATCAAGAACTGTGCAGTTTGAGAATGGTCTTTCTCAAGACATGCAAATCCTCGACACCTTATCCTGGATTCAAAACTGGGTCTTCCTAATGAATGTTGATTTAAGAATCGACATCACAGCACTCGGGATTCTCCCAGAAGCACCCCATCCCCATCTTCAGCAGCAAGTGAAGAGTTCCAATTCCAATAGCACCAGTAACTGTCCTATTGTATATCTGCCTTGCTTTTCCTTGAGTGCCGGCCAGATCCCCTGGTAATTCTACCCATTGCAAATTTTCTCAGACCCCCCCCCCCCCCCCCTGATCTTTACATCTAGCTTGTCATATATCAATTCATAACCAATTGGTGTAGAACCAGCCAGTCTATCTGCTTGTTCATTTCCCAACACACTAGAATCACCTGGAGAAAATATCCAAAGGCGAACTATCCAGGGCCTCTGAAGCGATGCTTGCCACTCTGCACGCAGCATGCTTGTCTCCACCTTTCCCAACATGCATACTTATTTTTAAAAGACTTCAACAATGAATGCACTGATGAGATCAAGGCTACTGCCATAGAATATAACAACCATCACCATAGAGTACTGACAATCATCAATGCACAATAATCACCAGCACATGACAGTCATTAACATATATGATGTGACAATGAAAATCAACTACATATGAACATGTACTGTGACAGTCATATGATCCGAAAATCCTGACACAGGAACGTATGACATGACAATCATATTACATGACAACCACCTACATATAACCAGATAATGTGACAACGAAAAACACCAACACATGAACATTTAATGTGACAGTCATATAATACAAGAATTACCAATATATGAACATACGTAACAATAATATAACTTGAGAATTACCAACAGATGACATGAAAATTTGTCACATGTGACAATTTCATAGCTTGAGAATCATCAACACATGAAAATCGACAACACATTAACATATGTGACAATCATTTTACTTGAGATTCCCTACCATGTGAACATAAAACGTGACAATCATGAACATATGACAAGAAAATCACCAACACATGAACATAAGATGTGGCAATGAAAATCCCTAACATATGAATATATTACAATGAAAATCACTAACATACAAACATATGATATGACAATAAAGATCACCAATATACAATCATATGATGTGACAATGAAAATCATGAACATATGAAACTCTCCAACACATGAACATATGATGTGACAAGGAAAATTACCAACATATGAACATATATGACAATGAAGATCACCAAGACATGAACAAATGATGTGACAATCATCAACACCTGGCATGAAAGTGGTCAACATATAAACATACTATGTGACAACATAAAACACACAAAATAATCAACATATCTGTAAACATATGTGACAATAATTAACATTTGGAAATCATCAATACATCAACATAGGATGTGACAATCATAAACAGCTTAGGCGGTAATCAAAAACAGTATAAAGTAATCATGAGTATATCTTCTTCGTGTTCCCTGGCGAATCCCCCCTGTGGGTTCCAGGGAAGCCAAGAATAGACCCATGGGGGAGGGGGGGGGGGGGCTTCCTTTGAAGTTGGAGCGCATCTACTGGAGAGGCAAGGAACCAGCAATCTGCATATAAATAAGTCAGATCTGTAAAAACATGTGCACGCAACACTCAGGTTCTGGAACAAGACTAAAGTCCAAAGGTTGACGAAAAACTAAAACTTTTCACCTGAGTTTACAGCTGGTGAACACACACAGACACACACACAAAGAAAGAAGAATTCTGATAGAAAGTTCTGGTGGCTTATTCATTTCTAGCCTTTGGTCTTTTTTCAGAATCTGAGTTTTGGGTGCACACTTGTTTTACATATCTGCCTTATTTGTATGCAGACTGTTGGTTTCTTGCTTCTCAGGCAGATGCATTAAACTTTGATGGAAACATCCCGAATTAGTTGGCTCTTACTACATGCTTGTTACAGGGCAGTGGGTCTATTCTCCCCCCTCCCCAATGGATTCCCAAAACCCATACGTCGACTCGACCCAATTTTGCTCCGTCCTACAATGCAGCAGCCATCTCAGTGTCTCCATGCTCACTGTATACCTGTAGGAGTTGACTGGCATGTCTTCTTTTTTAGCCCCGCAGCCGGTTTCTGCATTCTTGTCTTTGTTGAATACCCATTTCCAACATGCGGTTCATCGTCTCTCTTTTCTTTCAATGTCTCTAGAACGCAATGCATTTGCTATAAATGCTTCCTACTTTATATGCTACTGAAAACCACACAAAATGCCATTCTCTGTCCTATCTAAAAACAAATCAGACCTTGCAAAATCCAAAAGCTCACATAAACATTAAATGCATAAGGCAGCTGCCAGAGGTGTCAACACCAACAGTCTACCTTTAGAATTGCAGTTTTATCCTTGATGGAGGTAGCTGGTCACAGCAAAATGAGCAGTTGCACATGCAATCTTGCATAAGGCACACTGCCAGTGCAGACACACAACTGGCCACCCACCCTTTTCTGTATATGCAGTCTACAACACAAACCCCACAGGCAAAGATAAAACAGCATTATCAAAAATGATAAAACAATCACTAACATACACAATACTAATCAGTCAATATTGTGCAATGGTGGAGGTATATGTTATCACATATATTTTTAAAAACATGAATTCAAAGAAATTACATAAATGGAAGCACTGGACATTTTTGTTTATAAAATCACACGTCATTAAAAATAAAAAGCGGTTTTCAGAAGAAATCTCTCAGAAAACCTTGTCATGGATGAACCGCGTCATCATACTCAATAATTTCAGTGTTTTCTAAAGATTCCCCGTTTCACATGTTTGACTTTTTTACTGACACATTGCATTCACATTAAGTAAAGTAAAGTAAAGATCCCTTTATTTACCCTTAGGCGCATCGGGCATATGGGAAGAGCACCCATATTTTTACAGACCAATCGGCACTTGGTGGGTAATGTGGTCAGCATTACGCCGGCCGTCTTTACTCTCCCAGGACAGCCCATCCTGGTACCCATTTGAGGCTGGGTCGACCTGCGACGTCCCATACCACGATAAAAATCCACGCAGCCCACGCAGGTTTCGATCGCAGTACGTTGGATTACGAGTCAGACTCGCATTGCCTTAGCCACGGATAGGCATTCACACTAAGACTGACGAAAACAATAACTAATAACCTAGAAATGTAAATGTTCACTCACTTGTACGTGTGGAGAGTAGCAGGATTAAAACAGTCTGACAGAATAACTATTCTTCTTCTTCTTCCTCGTGTTCACCGGCTGTAAATTCCAGCGGAAAGTTCTGGGTGTTCGTCCGCCTCCTGACTTTAGTCTTGCTCTAGAACCTGTGTTGTGTGCAAATCTGTTTCACAGATCTGTCTTATTTGTATGCAGACATGTGGTTCCTAACCTGTCAGGTAGATATACTTCGACTTCTCATTTAGTCAACTCCTACGACATGCCTGTTGGGTTGGCAGTTGGTCTATTCTTGTATTCGCAACCAAGTGGCCCTGGACATACACGGGGTAGAATAACTAATGTGTATAAACAGTAGAGTTTGCTTGTTGCCTATTTCAAATTTATACCTTAACCCCCTAAAACAAAACACAAAAAATTATATGATGCGGATAAATTTAGAGTACTAGTTGTCTATAACCACTTTTCAAAGGGTTAAAAGATTAATGACAAGATATGGATGGAGAAATGTGATGAGAAAAAACCAAAAATACAAACCATGGAAATGAGAATTAGAATCACAGATGAATCAACAGAAGAAAGCTAAAGATAGAAGATATTCTCTATAATATGTAAACACGAAGTGAACAGAAGAGAAGGTAATAAATTCCTGAAAATGTAGTGATAATCAGTAAACTTCTTCCCAGACTTCACCAGCTGTAATCTCCAGCAGAAAGTTCTAGTTGTTCGTCTACCTCTAGACTTTAGTCTTATTCCAAAACCTGAGTGTTGCATTAACACTCTTTTTTTACCGATCTGACTTATCTATATGCATATTATTGGTTCCTTGCCTCTCAATGAAAAAAAAAAGTGAAGGTTAAAGTCGAGAGGGTCGACTTCATTGCACTGAGTTTTATCCCACATATTGTAGCTCCGACAATGATCCTCAGGGTTTTCCCTAAAAATTGCATCGTGAACCGAATGGGGCAGCTATGAAACGAACCCACAACCTCCAGAGCACAAGGCAAATAGCTTGACCACTTCGCTACGGAGACCCAAAACGACAACTCATGGTGCATATGATCAGCAAGATGTCTTAGAAATTAGTGAGTGCATTTCAAATTCCTCGACAATTCTGGATTTTAATTCCTGTGGTAATTTGGAAAAAGATCATTCTCTGGCGTCGAGCAGTGGGGTGAGAGTCACACCATGGAAGAGAGACTGGGGCCTTATCACATAATATTCCTAGAGATACCAGTAGATGCACATACCTACTTAACCAACCTTCACAGTGACGACTTCTCTTTTTTTGTCGTCACACTCTTATAAGGTTGTAGCCCAGTGTCGTCATCTTATGAATTTGTCTTGTGCTTCTTAGATAGCTTGGGTGAAGGATGTGTTCACCTTTCTGCCAACATACATCTTTCTGCTAGCAGTGTGCAAAAAAAAAAAACATAACTATTTTCAATATTTACTAAATATTAAACCCACAGAAGCCTACTTTGGTAGTAGTGAAACATCGCAAGCTAGTTTGGTTTGGGCACGTTGTGAGACATGATTGGCTTGAAAAACTATACTTTAAGTACGCTGCGGTTAGTGAAAAGGTGGGAGGGGAAGAAACTGGACTGACAACATCAAGAAATGGACTCGACTTAATTATTACACACTTGTTCAATAAGCGGAGGACAGAGAAAGATGGCAGGTTATATGCGCTAGTACTTCCACTGAAAAACCTCCACGACCCTAACAGGTCAAGGGTTATGTTTTATGTTATATTAAACCACAAACACAGAATTCCAATTCCATATCGCTGAAACTTCTTTACACAAACTCAGGATTCCATGTTATTATTATTTAATTATTCTATCATAGTCTTATCATATCATAGTCTAATCATACTATCTTGGCCACATTTTCTCAAACTGGAACTTCCATTCCTTATCCACCATCTCCCCGTCCACAAGTTCGAATGTCTGGTGTTTTATATAGTGGAAATGATCGAGAGCAAACAGATAAAAGTCATTCTCCATCTTCCAAATCGTCGACTGATGGATCTTCTCCACCGTTTCAGGCTTTGTAGGGATCTTCTTGGTTGTTTTTCTCAAGTGGGATTTTGTTCCTATGGATTGCCAAACAACACTGGGATCAAATTACATGTATAGAAAGTTGTAAATAGATGTAGGATTTCTTTAATAAGGGATAATGAAACAATATTGTGGTCAAATTACATGTGGAGTAAGGCGTAAAAATATGTGGGTTTTCTTTAATAAGGGATAATGAAATAATATTGTGGTCAAATTACATGTGGAGTAGGGTGTAAAAAGATGTGGGATTTCTTTAATAAGGGATAATGAAATAATATTGTGGTCAAATTACATGTGGAGTAAGGCGTAAAAATATGTGGGTTTTCTTTAATAGGGGATAATGAAACAATATTGTGGTCAAATTACATGTGGAGTAAGGCGTAAAAAGATGTAGGATTTCTTTAATAAAGGACAATGAAACAAAGATGCTTGTGTTGAATGCGAGCAAAGCATTTTTTTTTTACACATGCACACACATGGAGTATATTATGAAATCAGAATGTCCACGTAGCAACTGCCAAAGACAGCCATGCTGAGGAAATATAATGAATATAGGTGGAATAAAGATGGCAACAAGAATGACCTTAAAGAAATACACATCAGCAGATACCATGCTGAAGAAATATAATGGATATAGGTGGAATAAAGATGGCAACAAGAATGACCTTAAAGAAATACACATCAGCAGATACCATGCTGAAGAAATATAATGGATATAGGTGGAATAAAGAAGGCAACAAGAATGACCTTAAAGAAATACACATCAGCAGATACCATGCTGAAGAAATATAATGAATATAGGTGGAATAAAGATGGCAACAAGAATGACCTTAAAGAAATACACATCAGCAGATACTATGCTGAAGAAATATAATGAATATAGGTGGAATAAAGATGGCAACAAGAATGACCTTAAAGAAATACACATCAGCAGATACCATGCTGAAGAAATATAATGAATATAGGTGGAATAAAGATGGCAACAAGAATGACCTTAAAGAAATACACATCAGCAGATACCATGCTGAAGAAATATAATGAATACAGGTGGAATAAAGAAGGCAACAAGAATGACCTTAAAGAAATACACATCAGCAGATACCATGCTGAAGAAATATAATGAATATAGGTGGAATAAAGATGGCAACAAGAATGACCTTAAAGAAAAACACATCAGCAGATACCATGCTGAAGAAATATAATGAATATAGGTGGAATAAAGATGGCAACAAGAATGACCTTAAAGAAAAACACATCAGCAGATACTATGCTGAAGAAATATAATGAATATAGGTGGAATAAAGATGGCAACAAGAATGACCTTAAAGAAAAACACATCAGCAGATACTATGCTGAAGAAATATAATGAATATAGGTGGAATAAAGATGGCAACAAGAATGACCTTAAAGAAATACAGATCAGCAGATACTATGCTGAAGAAATATAATGAATATAGGTGGAATAAAGATGGCAACAAGAATGACCTTAAAGAAATACAGATCAGCAGATACTATGCTGAAGAAATATAATGAATATAGGTGGAATAAAGATGGCAACAAGAATGATGACCTTAAAGAAATACAGATCAGCAGATACCATGCTGAAGAAATATAATGAATATAGGTGGAATAAAGATGGCAACAAGAATGACCTTAAAGAAATACAGATCAGCAGATACTATGCTGAAGAAATATAATGAATATAGGTGGAATAAAGATGGCAACAAGAATGACCTTAAAGAAATACAGATCAGCAGATACTATGCTGAAGAAATATAATGAATATAGGTGGAATAAAGATGGCAACAAGAATGACCTTAAAGAAATACACATCAGCAGATACCATGCTGAAGAAATATAATGAATATAGGTGGAATAAAGATGGCAACAAGAATGACCTTAAAGAAATACACATCAGCAGATACCATGCTGAAGAAATATAATGGATATAGGTGGAATAAAGATGGCAACAAGAATGACCTTAAAGAAATACACATCAGCAGATACAATGCTGAAGAAATATAATGGATATAGGTGGAATAAAGATGGCAACAAGAATGACCTTAAAGAAATACACATCAGCAGATACCATGCTGAAGAAATATAATGAATATAGGTGGAATAAAGATGGCAACAAGAATGACCTTAAAGAAATACACATCAGCAGATACCATGCTGAAGAAAGAACGCAGTGAAGATCACTGTATCTTCCTTTAACATTTGGTGTGTGGTAACCGGACACAAAAAATTGTGACAAAGATGAAATACCTTAGAAGAGCTGCAGGAGTTTCAAGGAAAGACAGAATATAAAATCAGACGAATGCTAGGAATAAAGCCAGTCTTACAAGTCAACACCTAAAAAGAATGCCCTGGTACTATCTACCACAGCAAGCCGCACTAAAACGTTACAACAGGTATTAGAGCCAACGGAAGACCTCGGAAAAAAAAAATGGAGTGATGGCATAAAGAACAGCCTTACAGAAATTAACATCAGTCTTAATAGTGCTATTGACAGAGCTCATCAACGGATGTTACATCTTCCCTCCCACCTCCCCGACACTTCACTGTGGTACAAGGAGGAAGAGAAGAAGAACTGGTTGAGAAGAAGTGGAAGAAGAAAAAGAAGTCACATTTGCTATTTATAGCTTATATCATCCCCAGTGTAGGTTCTAGGGCCCCATGGGGGGGGGGGGGGGGGGGGGGGGGGAGAAGAGAAGAACAGTCCTACTGCCCCCCCCCCCCCTCAACAAGCATGTTGGAAAAGTCAACTAATTCGGGGTGTTTTTTTCAAAGTCAGAGTACATTTGCCTGAGATGCTAAAAACCAACAGTCTGCATATAAATAAGCCAGATCTGTCAATCAGATATGCATGCAAAACTCAAGTTGTGGAACAAGATTAAAGTCTAGAAATTGAAAACCAGTAGAACCTTCCACCAGAATGTACAGCTAGTGAGCACGAAGAAGAAGAAGTGTACATCATCTCCCATATTAATAATCACATTTCATCATTTTACAGGTTTAGGCTTTTGTTTTGCTTGAGCCATATTGCTGAGCCACCTAAGTATTATTCTTCATCTTCTACACTTGATCTATAAAGGGTGGTTGCACATTTACATCCAGGCTGTGACTGCAGCATCTTTCGGCCAAACATATCCAATACCGACAAACCCATAATTAGTTGCCTTTTACAAGAACACACACAGAGAATCCAGGTATTTATCTCCCTTGACGTCCTTCACAACCTTTCATATCATCAAGCTTACCAGCTGATACTATGTTTTCAAGTTTATTTCTATTCCCAAAATATGACACAAATACGGCTTTTTTCCTCTTGACTTGCTCTTTGACCACTTCGGATGTTCAGGGATATTTAAGATTGCTTCTTGCTCTTCTGGCTGCCTTGACCATAGACACATCATGCTGCTGCAGTTTCTCTGATGTTATCTTTCCATATTGTTCGTGGACTACCACATGCTTTACATCTATCTCCTCTTTTGGTGTATGCCTTGCTGACATGTACTGCATAAGTCTAATTTGTGAAACCCACTCAGTTTTCCATCTGTTCCTTCACAGCCTGCATTGTCGGCTGTTTCGGTCACTTACAAACATACTTGTAGTAAAGAAAGAAAGAAAGAATACCTTACACAGTTCTCTAGGACTATTTTAACATGGACAAGATCTGCAGGGAGGCCAATCCTCGGCTTTAAAGACAAATGCAGTCATGACATGAAAGATGTCAACACTGACACAGACACTTGGGACAGACCAGCTGCAGACCAATTCCATTGAAGGCAGACAGTGAGAGACGGACTGTCGCAATTTGAAAGAAGCCTAATGCAGCAAGTTATAGAGAGAAGACATCTGAGAGAAAATCAGCCTTAGAATGACAGCGTATCAACGTTTTTATGTAGACTGTGAGAGACGGACTGTCGCAATTTGAAAGAAGCCTAATGCAGCAAGTTATAGAGAGGAGACATCTGAGAGAAAATCAGCCTTAGAATGACAGCGTATCAACGTTTTTATGTAGACTGTGGCAGAAACTGCCACACCAGCACTGGACTTTACAGTCGTAGCAGACATTGTTCCCAAAACCAGCGCACAACTCCGTGGTTCCCAGAGACTGGCGGGTGCCTACAGGACAGTTTATTCTAACAGACAAGCAGACCAACTCATACCTTCTTCATAAAGCTCTGTTGCACCCCGAAAAAATCTGGGCAGCGTAGCTTCAAGGACGGCCAGAAAATCCTTCATTTCCTCAGTGACTCCAACGAGCAGGTAGTGATGCAGCAAGTTCTGTTTGGCTTCTTCTAGAGCCCACTGGTTTCCAGGTTTCCTTTTGACACAGGCAAAACTCTATATCAATGCAATGTTTATCTGTTATCTTTATCTACTTTTTTCTTCGCATTCGCCGGCTGCAAACTGCAGCAAAAGGTTCTGGTTTTTCGTCTACATCTGGACATTAGTCTTGTTCCAGTGCATGAGTGTTGCATGCACATCTGTTTTACAGATCTGACTTACCTGTATGCAGATTGTTAGTTTCTTGCCTCTCAGGCAGTTGCACTGCGACTTTGAAGGAAGCACCCAGTAAGTCAATTCTTACAACATGTTTATTAGGGCGGCAGTGGGTCTATTCTTGTTTTCCTCACAAGGGAGCCCCTGAACCCACCTGAGGATGCTTCCCTGTTATTGATTTCAGCAAAAAAAGGTACAAAGAGTACATGGCACAATTTATTACTGTAGGGGTTCCAGGGCCCCATTTTCAGAGGGAAAATAATTAACCCTCTGCCCCCTGCCCAAATACCTCCAAAAAAGCAGGAGGCAAATAATTAGGGTACTTCCTTCAAAGCTGGAGTATATCTGCCAGAGGGGTGAGGAACTAATAGTCTGCACACAAAGGAGTCAGATCTGTACAAAAAGGATGGGCATGCAAAACAAGACCAAATTCAAGAAGTAGGCTAACAACCAGAACTTTCTGCCAGAGCTAACAGCCAGTGAATGCTAAGGAGAAGAAGAAGTAGGACTGGGACACACAAAACGATAAAATATGCCCATCAATTGTGCAAGCATCAGTATGTCTTATCTCAATGGTTAAAAACAGTAGATCAGGTTGAATAATACTTTGTTTCTATATATTTTTTGTGGAAGATACTTCTACACAACCCCCTCTTGATAGCGGCACTCACCACCCCAACAGACTGTTAGGTACTTTGAGCCAGCCCTTCCCAAAATTTGTTTGAAGCAAAAAATTGGGGCTGAGCTCCCCAATTAGTTTTAGGAGTCTGAACCCCCCCCCCCCCCCCCCCCCCCCTCATAAACATTTTCAAGGGAGCTAAGTGGTTCTCCTAACCACGTATTCTGCTTTTGAGTATTTGCATAAATGTTCATATTATTTCAAATATGCTGTTATATGTATTTGTTAATCAGCACATAATAATAATAATAATCCTTAATGCACACTTATACAAGGCTCAAGCCCCTTGAGGCCCCTCTCCCAGAAAATAATTATAACAAACTTTATTTTCAAAGATCCAAAACTGGGCACGCAGGTCCAAACATAAAAATATAATCACCTCCTTGTGAGATACAATTATTTGTTATTTGAAGCCCCAGCCTGGCTCTTACCAGGGGCCGCAATATAGCCCGACCATGAATATGGTCTAATGGCTGAGGACCTCTCCACAATGATCCTCATCCACATGGTGACACTTTGTGTCATCGTGTGTTAAACGCTTGTGTGATGTCCTAGTGGGGGTAAAAATGTACTACTACTACTATGCAGGTCCATCTTATATTTGGAATTTCCAAGCACTCATCATGCAAACGAAACTGTATTTTATCAATTAAGCATTTTGAGTTCAAAATAACAGTTTACACAAAATAAATATCAAGTTTAAAAAAGAAAAAAAATAATAATAAATGAACAAAGGTGGGAACTAAGCCTCCCGTGTTTTCTTTGTGTCAGCACCCCTGAGCTGGACCACAACAATATCACAAACATAACAACAATACTCCAAGTTAGGCTCTACTTACCAACAGTCTGCATGATGCCCACAGAAATAAGGAATCTGTACCCACAAATTGGCTGGATCACAATCGTCTCCGTCTCTTGCCACACACTCATCAAATGTCTGAAAGATAAGTCAAACAGGCAACAATAATCCCAATCCCACTGTAAGTGCTTCTACAGGGACGTTAAGTGTTAATATTTCCCATATGCTACATAACGACGTTCGGTAGGGTGACCACAGCCTTTTTATATCATTGTTTACTTTCTTTTATTTTTCCTGGGCAACTTTAAAAAAACTGTTAAAAATTGGCAGTCATAAAATAATTTCTGGCAATGCAAGACAATGAGGTGTCTGAGAAAGACTGTAGGAGTGACCGGAAGAGATAAAATCAGGAATGAGGTCATACGAGATAAAGTGGGCACAGAACCAATTCTAAGTTACATACAAAGACAGCAAATCAAACGGTTTGCCCATTTGCAGAGAATGCCTTCTGATGCTATACCATACAAGGCATATACCAAACGAGGAGAGAGACGTAGAGCAAGAGATAGACCAATAACAAGATGGGAAGATAACATCAGAGAAACTCTACAGCACCACGATGTGTCTATGGTTAAATCAGCCAGAAGAGCCGAAACGGAACTTATATCTTCCTCGACACTCGAAGGGGTAAAAAAGGATGTAAAGAAGAAGGCAAGAGGCTCTTTTTTCTACTCCCTGCAGTGTAAAAACCGGCATTAAAACTACCTTAACTGCCCGTATTTACCAGTTCTGCTAGCTTTGGGGTTGTAGGGATAATACTATCGACAGAGAGAGATCATTTACCTCATTGTCTCCAGCCTTGCGCCTCTTGAGAGAGGGCCTAAAGTCATCTCCATAGCGAACAAAATAATAGTATGAAATCAGTCTATCCAATGGCTCTCTCACCATGTTGATGTAGACTGGCAGCTTCCTGACACCAAACCTGACCAGAAAATTTAAATTAGTCAAGAAATCATCCTCACAAACATCGAAGAATTCAGTCTAAAAGTTCTCAGATCCCCTCCCAACATGCAGCACCCGTTCTGCATTGGCTTTTAGTTCTTCTGTGTTCTCCTGCATGGTCCTCTTGTCTGACCCCTTTTGACTTGCTTTTTTAGCAGTCTAGTCAGGGTTGCAGATTCAATCATCATTCTTCCTCTTCTTCTTAGAATTCACCAGCTGTAAATGATGGCTGTTCATCCATTTCCTGACTTTGGTCCTGTTCCAGAACTTTAGTTTTGCGTGCAAATCCATTCAACAGATCTGGCTTATCTGCATAAAGACTGTTGGTTCCTTGCCTATCAGGCAGACACACTCTGACTTCAAAGGAAATACCCATAATCAGTCATCTCTTAGCAAATGCTTATTGGGCACCAGTGAGTCTATTCTTTTTCTCTCCCACAATGGGGCCCCAGAATCCACACATGGAATCAATTGATTAGCAAAGACATCTTATTTCATAAAGTATTCAGTATTTCAACTTGATCTGATGCCTGTTTGCTATTCACAGTAAATTAACCTCTTCATATGTTTCGTACACCTGCATGCCCTGGAACACAACTAAAATTTACCACCATGACCACCTCAGAAACTCCAAACACTGTCTTGGAAATTTGATTTATTTGTGCCCGCTGTGTTTCTGTATTGTGAAATGTGCTGAAACTAGATTGTGGATTGACTGGTGTGTGCCTTGTGCAGTACTGCCTGTGCAAATGCCAATTTGCTGTGATAAGCAAGCGCTAACCTAGTGGTGGGCTATTAGTGTTGACACTTTTGACAGCTCCCTTATACATTTACTTTCCATGTGCAGACTTCTGGATTTTGCAGGGACTGATCTGTTTTCACTATTTTCAAATAGGAAAAAGGGTATTTTGTGTGATTTTCACTGGTACAGAAAAAGAAACGTTATTGGGTGACCCGGTGCCATGAAGTTGGAACTGTCAGTTGCGTCTAATAACTAAAGCCAACTAATGCATCAGACTTAAGGGTTGATACTCAAATGTGTTTTCGTTTTCATAAACCAAGCAATCATGTGAACTTTTAACATTGCAAGTTGTGGTTGCTGTGGATGAGGTGTTTTAAACAGTAAATTATTTCTTCTTCTTCTCCTCTGTACGCCTGGAATGCCCTGTGGCATCAGGACAGGAAGAGATCTCTGGAACAGGCCCTTCTGTTCGCTTTGTATAAAGTACTTTTCAGTGTCTCAGATATTTAAGGGTACAAAAACTGCATTTACATACAGATTTTGAACTATCAGCAATTTCTATACATAAAAAGGATTGAAGATAAAACGAGGAATTGTAAACGAAAAATCACCCACTTTGAAAAATCTATGAATGCCACATGACCATGATAAAGGGTTGGCTTCTTTTCATCCCAACCAGTGATGTTAGTGATAAAGCGCATCTGAAAATATACACAGTCGCTAGTGGTCATTACATCTTGTACTGTTTAACACTTGCACTGAACATAACTTGTATATTTGATATTTGTAATGAACACAATTTGTATTTTTTTTTAATGTAATAAACATTACCTGTACAGTTTGATAAATATAACGAAGATAACATTTGATAAATGTAACGAAGATAACTTGAGCTGCTGGTTAAATGTAACGAAGATAACATTTGATAAATGTAACGAAGATAACTTGAGCTGCTGGATAAATGTAATGAAGATAACTTGTGCTGCTGGACAAATGTAATGAAGATAAGAAGTTTTGATAAATGTAATGAAGATAACTTGAGCTGCTGGATAAATGTAATGAAGATAACTTGTGCTGCTGGATAAATGTAATGAAGATAAGTTTTGATAAATGTAATGAAGATAACTTGAGCTGCTGGATAAATGTAATGAAGATAACTTGCGCTGCTGGTTAAATGTAACGAAGATAACTTTTGATAAATGTAACGAAGATAACTTGAGCTGCTGGATAAATGTAATGAAGATAACTTGTGCTGCTGGACAAATGTAATGAAGATAACTTTTGATAAATGTAATGAAGATAACTTGTGCTGTTGGATACATGTAATGAAGATAACTTTTGATAAATGTAATGAAGATAACTTGTGCTGTTATATAGATGTAATGAATATAACTTGTGCTGCGGGATAAATGTAATGAACATAATTTTTTCTAAATGTAATGAACATCACTAATACTGTTTGGTAAATATAATGAACATAACCTGCATGTACTGTCTAATAAATGTAACGAACATCACTTGTAAAAACTTTTAGGTACATGTAATGAACACTACCCACGTCACAAAGAGACAATCTACACTCTTTGGTCATATGATGAGAAGGAGAAAACAAGTAATTTGTGACAGTAGGAAAGCTGGAGGAGAGAAGAGGCAGAGGGAGACCGAGAGGACAGATGCTAGACGGTGTGACAGCATAGCATAGAGAATCATCTGTGTCAGAGTTGACTGAAAGGGCACAAGACAGAAGGTTGTGGACACCATGACTACCAATGCCACACAGCATGGACTTTAAGAAGAAGAAAAAGTAATGAACATAATGTGTGCTGTTTGACGAATGTAATGAAACAGTTTCGTGCACTGCCTGATAAATTGAATGAACGTAACTTGTACTGTTTGATGAATGTAACAGACAATAACTTGCACCGATTCATAAATTTGATGAACATAACTTGTATACACTGTATGATAAATGTAATTAACATAACTTGTGCTTTTCAATAAAAGTAATGAACATAAATTGACCTGTTCAATAACTGTAATGAACATAACCTGCATGCACTGTCTGAAGAAACCAGCATTTCAATTCCCAGGACCACCAAGGTGTCCGGGACATGGAGGTGAAAGCCATTAAATCTGGCCACTCCAGCGACAGAGTTTGCAAGTCTCTTGAAAATTGCTTTATTTACACTGGCGCCCAGTGGACTAAACTGCCAACACAGCTTCATCTAGAATCCTAGGGGACTGAACTGCCTACACAGTTTCATCTTATCCTCTTGTTACGGCCTCTGGCTTACCCCGGGATATTTATTTTCCTGTTCCCACATGTCCCGCTAGTCTATTGGCTAGACATCGACCTGGCTGCTTTGAGATACGAAGATAAGTGAGATTGTGTATTTGCGTAGAAATGTCTAATTTATGTATGTACTGATGAAGGCTCAATAGCCGCAACGTTCACGTTTCGTTTGTTATATTGTGAAGCTCGCTAATATACATTTTGTTCAGGTTGATATCTTTCCCTGATATTTGTAAGTAACATACTGTGAACTGTTTGCTAAACGTAAGAAACATACAGTGTGCTGTTTAATAAATGTAAGAAACATGCTGTGTGCTGTTTGATAAATGCAAGTAACATACTGTGTGCTGTTTGACAAATGTAAGAAACATACTAGGTGCTGTTTGATAAATGCAAGTAACATACTGTGGGCTGTTTGATAAATGTAAGAAACATACTGTGAGCTGTTTGATAAATGTAAGCAACATAACTTTCCCTGTTCAAGACTGGCACTGAACACAACAACCTGAGAACATATCTGATCAGACATGCAAAGTTACATAGCTAGGAAACAACCTACCTGATCAGTCATGCAAAGTTACATAGCTAGGAAACAACCTACCTGATCAGACATACAAAGTTACATAGCTAGGAAACAACCTACCTGCTCAGACATACAAAGTTACATAGCTAGGAAACAACCTACCTGATCAGACATGCAAAGTTACATAGCTAGGAAACAGCCTACCTGGTCAGACATGCAAAGTTACACAGCTAGGAAACAACCTACCTGATCAGACATGCAAAGTTATATAACCAGGAAAGAACCTACCTGGTCAGACAATCCCAGAGTCCGCTGGTTTTTGGAAATATTCATGTGAATCACGTGAAACTGGTTGTCAGTACATAAGTCATAAGCTATGCCAGCAAAGGATGTGCTACCGGTCTTGGGGACTCTGTTGTAGATGATCACCATGTCGTCCTCTCTGTAAGCATCCTAGTAAAAGAAGAATGTTCATAAATTATAACAGCCGGATTTAAAATATGATCTTAAAGAACAGCTGGAGTTTACAGCCACTGAAAGCAGCCAGTATTATTTGTCTCTGACTGCCTTCGTATATCTTTCCAGACGTCACAATGTTCTCAAACAATCTCATCTCATTAAAGAACACTGTCTGTAATTTATAACTGTGTATAATCTTCTTCTTCACTGACTGTAAAACCTAGCGGGAAATTATGGTTGTTTGTCCACTCCCGGACTTTGGACTTTTCCAGCAACCTGAGTTCTGTATGAGCCGCCATTTTACAAATTGGGTTTATTTGTATACAGACAGTCGGTACCTTACCTCTCTGGCCGATGCACTCCATCTTTTAAAGAAACAACCACCCGGCTCTCTAGCGTAATTGGCTAAACCGGATTGCGAGGAGACCAGGTGACGAACTCCTTGTGGTCCGGGTTCAATCACATTTTCTTCCAGATTTACGGTATTTACAATGGAATCAAGGTCGAAAGGTTGCGATATCCATAATACCGAGCCTAAGGGTTAACAACTCATGGCTTCTGGATACTAAAACAAACAAACAAACAAAGAAACAACCCTAATTAGTCACCTCCTACGACATGCTTGTTGGGGAGGGGGGGTCTATTCTTTGTTTTCCAATATGGAGTCCTGTAACTCACACATGGATGGCACCTGAGGTATGATACAGAGTATCATTTTATACAAATAACAATAGCCTTAACCTTTCCTTACGCCTGTGATCGAAATCCCCCATGCTACTCTGCAAAAGACAAGAGGGTTGAGTGTACATGACACATGACAATTATAAATAAAGCTACTTACATCAGTGGTAAAAGACAAGTGTCGTCGTGACATGTCGATGCTGTCTAATTGCAGTTTTGTGATAGCTCTCTCTGGAGGAACCAAGCAAAAGGACATAATGGATTGCATGTTTGTAAGAATGGTGCTACATCATGAGAACAATACATAAGGAACTGGTTGCATGTATGAATGGAGCTACATCATGAGAACAAGACATAAGGAACTGGTTGTATGTATGAATGGAGCTACTTCATGAGAATAAAGGCATACTGAAATTCGTTGCATGTATGAATGGTGCTACATCATGAGAACAAGACATAAGGAACTAGTTGCACGTAAGAATGGTGCTACATCATGAGAACAAGATATAGGGAACTAGTTGCATGTAAGAAAGGTGCTACATCATAAGAACAAGACATAGGGAACTAGTTGCATGTAAGAAAGGTGCTACATCATAAGAACAAGACATAGGGAACTAGTTGCATGTAAGAATGGTGCTACATCATCAGAACAAGACATAAGGAACTGGTTACATGTATGAATGGTGCTACATCATGAGAACAAGATATAAGGAACTGGTTACATGTAAGAATAGTGCTATATCATAAGAACAAGACATAAGGAACTGGTTGCATGTAAAAATAGTGCTACATCATGAGAACAAGACATAGGGAACTGGTTACATGTAAGAAAGGTGCTACATCATGAGAACAAGACATAAGGAACTGGTTACATGTAAAAATGGTGCTACATCATGAGAACAAGATTTAAGGAACTGGTTACATGTAAGAATGGTGCAACATCATGAGAACAAGATATAAGGAACTGGTTACATGTAAGAATGGTGCAACATCATGAGAACAAGATATAAGGAACTGGTTACATGTAAGAATGGTGCTACATCATGAGAACAAGACATAAGGAACTGGTTTCATGTAAGAAAGGTGCTACATCATGAGAACAAGACATAAGGAACTGGTTGCATGTAAGAATGGTGAGACATCATGAGAACAAGATATAAGGAACTGGTTACATGTATGAATGGTGCTACATCATGAGAACAAGATTTAAGGAACTGTTTACATGTAAAAATGGTGCTACATTATAGTCCCAAGTGCTATGATGTCAGTTTTTGCTTAAACGTTCAACATAATCAGCAGTCATGCACTCACATCAAACAATGAACAGCCCAAAAGAAACAACTTACCAAGTTTCACTTTTGCATTGCCAAGCAGTGCCACCTGGCTGTTCAGATCATACAGATAAGTGTAGATGATGAAAAAGAACAGGGTGGCGAAAATCAGGATAATCAGGAAGCGCTGTTGTAATCCATAGCATGTTCCGGAAAGTCTTAGGGCAGACATGTTTATCCCTTGATGTACTTTGAAAACTCAGATATCACATATTATGGTTTTGAAGTTGGGTTGAAGTTCACATTCTGTCACTGATAATAGTGTCTGAAATTACAATTTTACATTAAACTCACCAAACCTGAAATCCTTTTATCTATAACAATTTCAAATTATAACAGATCAGTATACTAATTTAGGTAGTAATTGGGACTTTCAAAGAAACACAAAGAAAAAATATTACGACACATACTGACAAAAAGGCAACACTAGTTTTTTTTTAAAAGCCTGACCACATTTGGCACTGACACTCAATACCATTTCTTCTTTTCTTAGTTTGAGCAACGTAACTGTGCTGTCTCTGCTTCAATATTTGTGCCTTTCAACCAACATATTCGACTTCATCAAACATTTGTTGACCAGATTAACTTACCGGATATTATAGTTTTGTGTAACATGACAGGGCCTAATTCCCTTTTTTTTTTTTTTTGGGTATCTCTCTGTCCCCTTATCTAGTTGTTGTCTTTGGAGAACCCATTCAGGGGCTACCGGTGTGGACAGATCATGGGATTTCCCCCCCCCTCCCCCCCCCCCCCCCCATCCCCGAGGTTTTTATAAATGCAGAAGCTACACAAGATGCTCTCTGGTCTTGGATTTACTCAAGTAATCGTCACCTAATGCACATGGCTGCTTAATAATACACCCGCACTTTGAGCTTACCAATAGTCACAGCCTGCGCCCTGCGGAGAAAATCAGCTGCAGTTCTGAGTTCACTGACCAGTGGAGTGGCAGACTCTCAGAGGCTGTCCTTGTGACTTGTCTACCTCAACGCGGTGACGACAACGTTGAGGGTCGACGAAGGGTGCACAAATTATGAAAGTACAAAAATAGCAGCGTTAAGAAGTTCTGCGTGCGTACTGAAGGATACAATTACTCACGACAGAAATCAGGTGTGTGACCCGCTACTCCGGTCCTGTCACTCTGTGTGCTATGTCCACTCGCTTTCCGGGTCACTGCTGCTTCAGCTTTATCATTTTATGAAAGTACAAACAATTACTAAAAAGAAAGAGTAAAATACTTCTGCATGCAAGCTGAGCTTTCGAGATATCAGATTCTCACTAGATGAAGGGTGTGAAAGATAAACCAAGGCAAACTATGTGTCCTATATTTATCCCATTCTGTAAGACAAGAATTTACTGACAATTTACCATAACACAACTGAGATCTATGTACTGGCTGAGTTAAAGCCCTTAGCGGAAGTGAAGTAATATTTGTCAGCATCATGTGCCGTGCCGAAACCAACTCACTGATGACAATCAAACAGCAGTGAGTGACATTTTCACTCCTAAAAGAGCGTACAACGAGCGATACACGCACGATGACCTAAAGTGCCACCCCACCTTCGGATAAGAATACCCCGGGCACGTCACAGAAACCGCGTTCATGATATACATTTTTAATAGTTTTGGAAATTTTCTACAACCTTGACCTTGGAAAAACAACCAAATTAGAATCTGGAGAAACTAGAAGAAAAACAAATAATATTGAAGATAATATGCAAGAGCTAGAAAACGTCTTTATGTTGAATTTTTATAATGAGATTATGCAGTCTAAAAACCATGTGCAGACGTGTATGTGTCATTAGCTGACTAGCTGTGCACTTCACAAGAGGGATTTGAAAGACAGGAAACGGCTACAAAGGAAATGCTACCAGATGATACAAGACGGATAAAACTCGCAAATGTATCAGAAAAAAGGGACACAATGACGGAGATACACCATAAGTATTTCTGAATGCCAGCGATAAATTTCGTATCACCACTTTTTACACAACTGTTGATAAACTTTAAACGTGAAATGAAAAGGAGAGGAGAGTAATACGTCCTTTTTGGGATGCAATTTGTTGTTATTTGAAGCCTCGCCCTTGCTTTTGCCAGGGGCCGCAATATAGGCAGGCTATAAATATAGCCAATTGTCTGAACGCGGTTTCTGGGACCTCTCCACGGTGATCCTCATCCACATGGTGACACTTTGTGTCATCGAGTGTTTATCGCTTGTGTGATGTCCTAGTGAGGTAGAAAGTCAGTCAGGAGAGGAGAGATATACAAAGAAACTGCAGATTTTTTTTTTTTTTTAAAGTGATGTTTTCAAAATGCCACTTCATTGTGTACTAACACTGCAAAGTATTTTCAGTGCTATCAAAGGCTGATTTGTGGTACCCAGACTAATTTCTCAGCTGATTTTCAACAATTTCATTCATATGTGCGCCAAATGTTTAGTGCAATTAATGTATGTAAAAACAATATTCAGTCATGCTGAACTGTATAAAATAACTGTAGAAGGCAATACTGAGTGTGCCTTTCCAAATATAAAAGTTGCCTTTCGTATTTTTTAACATTAGTGGTAACAAATTGTTTTTTATATATATATATATATATATATATATATATATATATATATATATATATATATATATATATATATATATATATAAAGGTATTATGTATATACATACGCGCGCGCGCTAATTTTAAACCAGAAAACAATGCTATACGGCTTTACGGTTGAAAAGTCTGAAAAGCTACACAGACCTCAATGCGAAAGGAGAAGAGGTAGAAAACTGGATAATCAGCAACACTCTAGTTCTGATAAATCATCGTGACGACCCCGACACATTCTACTCTCGAGCTTGGAGGAAAACTAGCACCCCAGACTTGGCTATGGCAACTGAAGATGTGGAGAAAGTTACCAGCCGGGACGTATGTCAGCAGCTGGGTGACAGTTATTACAGGCCCGTAATCCTGTCTATAAAAAAAAGTAGAGAGGTTACTAAGGAAAAGAACCCTCCCAGCTGGAACTACAAGAAGGCTCACTGGAGTCTTTTCACTTCCCAGTTGGACGACATGTTGAAAAGAGTCTTCTTCAGAAGACTGGAAATAAATGTCAAACTGAAGATCCTCAACACAAATGCAGCCAAGGGTAACATACCACGAGGCAGCAGGAAAAACTGTAAACCTTACTGGTCGCCTGAACTGGACACTCTGCATTCCAAACTTAGTACCAGGAGAGAAAATGTGGAGAAGGATCCGACAGATAAAAATATAATACTTCATAACAGAGCAAAAGCAGCCTTCGTCAGAGAGAGAAATAATCAGATGAGAGAAAGCTGGCACAAAAAGACAGCGTCATTTAACCTCGAGAAGGACACTTCACGTCTGTGGAATATCACAAAAAGCTTGAATGGAGACAAGACAGAAAAAGCCAGAGTTGTACTCCTAACAGACGATGGAGCTGTTACTGGCAAGGCAGCAGCAGATGTGCTAGCTGAAACACACCAGAAGGAAACTGAGGTTCATATTCCCATGCAAAGAATAAAAGAAGTACGCAACCAGACCAAGACTCTTCTAGCAGACTCTAGCACAAAAACAACCGAGGCCTGCATGTCAGAAAAGTTTACCATGCAAGAGCTGGAAGTTGGAATTGGAGAGTTGAAAATGAAGAAAGCCCCAGGGGCTGACGGCATTACAAACGAATTTCTCTCTCATCTTGGACCTGCTGCCAAGAAGTTTCTTCTCTGCATTTACAACCAGAGCTGGCAAAAAGGTGTGGTACCGTCAGCCTGGAAGGAAGTTCTCATCCAGCCTATCCTTAAAAAGGGTGGAGACAGAAGAGACCCAAAAAGCTACAGACTCATCAGCCTTCTTAGTTGTGTAGAAAAATTGCTGGAGAAATTAGTAAATAAAAGACTAATACGGTTCTTGGAGACAAACTCTGTAATCACCACCACACAGACAGGATACAGACAGCACAGAAACACAGAGGACCAGTTGACATATCTGGCACAGGAAATAGAGAATGCCTTCCAGGAAAAAAAGAAAGTTCTTGCTGTCTTCTTTGACCTCTCTCGTGCTTTCGATACAATTTGGACAGAGGGCCTACAACTAAAACTGCTACAGGCAGGAGTTGTGCATAACATGCACAAGTGGATCAAAGACTTTCTTTTCCAACGCAGAGCCAGATTTTTTTTTTTTCATGTATCTAGAAACCATGAGTTGTAAACCCTTTGGCCCGGTACTATGGATATCGCAACCCTTCGGCCTTGATTCCATTATAGGTACCGTTAATCTGGGAGAAATGTGGCTTTTCTGCCTACCCCCGGGAGTGAACCCGGACCACAAGGAGTTCGTCACCCGGCAGCCGCGAACGTCAGGTTTAACCAACTTCGCTAGAGAGCTGGGCCAGAGCCAGATTCAGAATTGATGGACACGTCGGCAAACTGGCAAAACTAAGAGAATGGGTTCCCCAGGGCAGTGCGATAGCACCAACTTTGTTCCTAGTTTACATAAATGATATCACAGCAACCTGCCACCAGCACGTTTATAATACCCTACATGCTGATGACTTTGCAGTTTGGACAGCCTCTACCACAGCCTCATATCTGTTTCAGAAAACTGTGGAAAATGTAGAAGCCTGGACCGAAAAGTGGGGTCTAAAGCTAAATAACTCAAAAAAGTACAGCAACACTTTTCTCTCTCTCTCCCCCAAAAAAGAAAAAATCGAAATGCGGATAAAAAACCAGCTCATTCCACAAACTGACACTCCTACCTTTCTTGGCGTTACACTTGATTCGCGACTAACTTGGAAGTCACACGTATAAGCAGTACAGGGGAAAGCATTCAAGAAGCTTGCAATTATGAAAAAATTAGCGGGTACCACGTGGGGAGCTAACTCCAGAATCCTAAAACGAGTATATACTGGAGCAGTCAGGCCAGTCATGAAATATGCCTCCACTGCATGGGCTGCAGCAGCCAAGACAACAATGGGAAAACTGGACAAGGTTCAGAATATGGGATTAAGGATTGTTCTCGGAGCAATGAAATCCACCCCCATCAGAGAGATAGAGAGGATAGCAGATACTGAACCACTCGAACTCAGAAGACCATACAATACTCTTTTACAGTATGAGAAATTAAAAAGACTTCAAAGTCACCCACTGCATTTTAAATTTCAAGAGA